ACTCCTATATGTTCCTGTCAGAATGCCTAAAAAGTAGCTGAGCTTTGATAGTGACTGGTTCTGAAACAAAGAGGTTTGCTTACTTATTAAGAGAGATCAAAGGATTTTTAGAGGGTCCCTGTTACAGATCAAAGTGATGGATGTGAATGGAGGTAATGTGAACACACTGCTATCTGAAACCAGCAACATCGCATATCCCAAGGCACTTGGGGTACTGGACAGCCGACTCTATTACTTGGATCCATCATATGAAAAGATTGAGAGAGTTGATTTGCCTAAGGGAGATAATCCCAAGTTACTCATAGACAACGAGGCAGATCTGAAGACCTTCACAATTTTCAGGAAGAGACCAAGTGAGTTTTGAGATATATAAACCCATAGATACAGTAAATGAGTACATAAGTTTTGAAATTTCCTTAGCTGTGATTGTTCTGGTTATGGTTTCCTGGATTGTGACACTATGCAGTGGATATTAATGATTTGGAGAAACATAGTGTCAGACTCTTCAAGGTTGAAGTACATAGGATGAGGGATCAATTATATGATACAGGCCCTGGTTTATATAGTGTTTCTGAAGAAGACTGTGTTGCTGTTCACTGTTCCTACTGGCCCAGACCAGGCCCCTCCACACACAAATGGGACTGAACGGTATCATAATGTCTTGTTACATGCCATGTAGTCTGTGTTTGTTAAAAGTTACTGACCTGATAATTGCATATTGCTAGATAAACTTGAAATGAAAAAATAATATAAGAGCGATGTGTTCAAGATATTTCTAGTTTAGTGTAGTTTTTATTTATTAATTAATAACAAGTTCATTGTCATATACTAGAATATAAGTTGCTGTTTCATAACACAACATGTTTTAACTAATATATGGTCATTCTCAGGTCTTTACACATGTTGTATGTTTTTTCTTTTACCTGGTACNGTTTGTTAAAAGTTACTGACCTGATAATTGCATATTGCTAGATAAATTTGAAATGAAAAAATAATATAAGAGTGATGTGTTCAAGATATTTCTAGTTTAGTGTAATTTTTATTTATTAATTAATAACAAGTTCATTGTCATATGCTGGAATCTAAGTTGCTGTTTCATAACACAACATGTTTTAACTACTATATGGTCATTCTCAGGTCTTTACACATGTTGTATGTTTATTCTTTTACTTGGTATAATGTCAGTTGTATAGTAATTAGAGATTAATGTGGTGTTGGAGAGTCTGTATTATTTTTTCATTAATTTTTTGTTGTTTACCTGCTACCAGGTACAAATCATCCATGCATGAACAACAATGGTGGCTGTGAACAGCTGTGCATACCTCATGAGGGTAGTACACGTGTATGCAGCTGTTCTATTGGCTACAAGAAGGAGAATGAAGTTAGCTGCACTGCCTACAAAACATTTGCTGTGGTTTCACAGTTGGACATCACCCGTGGCTACAGCCTCAAGGACTCTGCAGAAGCAATGGTGCCCATCACAGGTCCAGGTATGAGAATCTCCAGTGTGTGCAGAAAAATAAGCCACAGCTTTGCCATAAAGCAAATAGTATAACTGACAAGTCTTCTCAAATATGAGGGTTGTCATGATTGACCCAGCATCTTTGGAACCCATCTTGTGCTCACTTTTTGAAGTGAATGCCCACGTTAAATATTGTCTCTGGATTACAAATGCTGACATTCACTTGTTAAAAGATTTCACACATACAAAGGCAGCTGTTCTACAAAATAAGCTTCTTGATTTTATTAATGTTCATGTTATTGGCTGTAAAGCCATGGGTGCAGGGGGGCATAGATTATTATTTTACTGGCTACCCTTTAATGTGGTAATTCATACACCTGTGTTGTGGAAGTGTATCATCCCTAAGCTGTTCCTAATATCCTCAGTGAACGTCAGCTGATTTTGAGCCTTCTTTCACCAAGCAATTGATTACAATGTTCCACCATCTTACTAACTGCTATGGACACCATCTTGTGTGGTATGTTACTTCATGCTCACAGGTATGGTTAATGGTTGCAGGAGAGAGATATGAAAGAAACGTGCAAAAAAATGATACCAATTCATGTAATCGTTTAGCAGAAACAGATAATATTCTGGGTCAAATTTGACCACCTACCTTGTAAACCTTTTGGCTTTCGTTGTGAAGCTCATGTTTCGAGTTTCACTATTTATGTATTTTAAGCTCTGCAGTTGAAATAGCATGATCTTGTAGCCTCTTGACTCACAGTTGGGGGGGGGGGAGGATGTGGCTTGATGACTCACTTCAAATGTGTTTACATTAAGTTTTTTCCAGGCTACCCCATGGACAGTTTGCAAACTGGTGAATTGTTATGCAAATTTAAGACAGCTCAGTTTTTCAACAGGAAAAATGTGAAAATGTGTGTCTTATGTGTGAAGTAATATGGTAATAGCCATCAGTATCTCTTTTCAGGTCACCACATCCTCCATGTTGATGTCCATTATGCACAAAATTGGATCTATTGGGTCGAGTTTAACCGAGGAATATGGAACGGCATTTTCCGCATCAGACCAAATGGTACTGAACTCCAGCCAATAATTAAGGATGGAATTGGATCAAATGGGATTCGTGGCATCACAATTGACTGGATTGCAGGCAACCTGTATTTTACCAATGTGTTTCCTCATGAAAACTACCTTGAGGTGTGTTGGCTTGATGGCTCCAATAGGATGGTGCTTGTTAAGACAACTACAGATGCACCACGAGAACTTGCTGTCAACCCTGTTAAGAGGTACATAACATAAAAACACTAAACATTGTAAATATGCACTTATAAAACATAATTGTTGATTGCAGTCTAAAGTGAACACTGTCTTCTATTGCCCAAACACTGAAATCTTTGGCCATACCCAGTTCTGAGACTTCTAGTGGCTTTTGACTTCTAATGACTTTTAATGCCATTTTTATCAAATCTTGAAATTATGTATGGTGGTAGATTGGTGAAATATATTCAGTTTTGTTAACTCTCTTGGTGCCAGCCGGTGAAGAAATCCAGCGAGTAGGGAGGATGGAGAATGATAACCATCTTGTTGTTAGTGGCAAACTCCATGGTTTTTAGGGACATATGGGTGGGCACGTTGTCATGATGAAGCCAGTTGTGGTTGCGCCAAAGTTCATTATTTTTCGCCGCACGTTTTCTCTCATGCATCTCAGAATGTCACAATAAAAGTCAATAATTGATACCAGCAATGTCTGCTAGCTCATGGGTTGTTTGGCGATGGTCTTCATGGATGAATTCTTTCGTTTTGCTGGTGCTTGGTCACCCTGAACGTTCGTTATGTCCAGCTGACACTCAACCAGCCTTGAAACGTGAATGCCATTCAAAAAGCGCTGTCTGGCTTAAAGAATGTTCTCGAAAAGCCACATTAAGTATTTCAGGGATAGTGGATTTACTGAGCTTCACACAAAACTTGATGTAGACATGTTGATCGATTTTGCCATCCATTGCAGACGAAACAAAACACAAAGTCAAAAAAGCATTTGTATAAAAACAGTGCATGTTCACAGTGCAGTGTCACATGGCAGACTGATACAATACGATTGTGGAATTGTGACCTTGGCCTCCCCTCTCATGTTCTTTCATTGAGGCACTTAAACAATAACAGTCTGGTAACTTTCTGACAGCATGTAAGATGCGAAGTGCCCTTCTGTAAACTGCTGGACAATAAATAGGATTCATGTCTTACTGAATCTGTATGTAGCTTTCCAGTTTCTAGCAGTAAGTAATGAACCATTACAGCTTTGAACGTGAAATTCTGTATGGAGATGTATCATAAGTGGACCTACACATTCTATATGAATCACATAATATATATTAATAAATTACAAACAAACCTGTGATGTGAATCTTTGATGTTATATTGGACAAATTTAACAATTGGCATCTGTACTAATTGAAACGATTGTCAGAAGTAGGTTGATTAAATTGTTTTATTATTAATTTATGGTTCCTGTTAGGGTCATCATATACATTAAAATGATTGGAGGGGAGTGGGCAATGTAACCTCTCCTAGAACATCAAGTTCTCATTGTAGTGTACAGCTAATTGTATTATGGACATTTTGACTGGAATACTGTCATGAATAAAACAGCTGAAACCTTTATTTTCAGGTACCTATACTGGATTGATTATGGCCAGTATCCAAGGATAGGAAAAGCATTCTTGGATGGCACAGGCTGGCAGCCAATGGTGACTTCTGGAATCAGCAACCCACGTGATTTAACTGTTGATATGTTGACACATGAAGTATACTGGGTTGATTCTAAGCTGGATATGATCCAGAAGGTGGCCTTCAATGGTGGAAATAGACAGGTATAAATACTTTTCTAACTAATTTGAATTACTGTAATTGCTGAAAAAAGTATCTCCTTCAGAGAACTATCAGATGAAGAAGTGACAAGTTCAGTATTAGTAATATTACATTACATTACATTACATTACATTACATTCCCTTCCCTGGATCAAAANCAAAAAAAAAATTTTTTTTTGTAGGCCTGTGTAGTAGATCACTGAAAATCTTGGTCTCAGCACAATATGCCCTTTTTCTGAAAGCATGAAAGGTTAGCATTCAGTTTATGAAGATAGTGCTTTTGTGTTGTGTTAAACACTTTGTACATCTGCACTGGTCCGAAAATGTTCTTCATTATTTGTAATGAAGTTTATTAATGAAATATTTATTCTCGTGGAAGAGTTAAGATCTCCAGTCCTTGGGTTGGACACCATAGAGAACACTGTCTTCTCTTGTCAAGTATTGTTGTGTTACATAGCAACACATTGTAGCATGGCCCACAGAGAACGCAGCTCCTGTTGTTGTGTTTGGTGGAACATGTATACTAAGTTGTTGCCTAGCAATAGGTCGATATATCACCATAGGTTATTGGCTTTTGGTCATTGAACTTTAATGCTAAATGAAGGAAAAGCTGAAATTGAGGAGTGTTAGATGGATGTTCCATTGTAGATTGTATTGTTTGTAGGATGATAAGTGTCACAGGCTATTCCTAGTCCTTCTTCTATATGCATAATCACATAATTGCTCTAACCAAATTTGTATTTATGAATTAATGGGTAAGGTGTTGGCCTTAACCAGTCCGTGCACCATGGGAATCAGTGATCTGCTGTTCAGCACCCCAACAATCTACTCTTCAAACGATGTGTAGTGCCATACTGCAACACCGGGTTGTATAAAATCTCAGCTGAGAGAAGTTCTTAAGTATGCTATATCCTCACAACATGTGAGGCTGTTTCTTCTTTTTTGTTAGGTCCCTTCCATGAGTGGGATTGCTGGTTAAACCCCATGCTAATGAGGTGTCCTTTAGATTGCAGTGTCCTGTAAATAGAGATTTTGGTGTAACTTTTCAATGTAATGGGATTTTTTTCTATATTTTCCACCATATTTTTCATTTGTTATAGAAATATTTGCTCACTTTTTGGAGAAAAATATGTGACTCATGGTTATTCTAAAATTTTCAGTCTAAAAATATGTAAAATATTTAATCTACTTATCTTTCAATAGCTTCAAATCTCATGTGTGAATACAATTCTGTATATTCCTGTTATGTTTTCCCCCTTACTTTTTATCTCTGTATGTCTGAAGTATTGAGTCTTCCCAGGTGGAGTAACTTATATTTTTATAATAATAAATGTTTCAGGTGATCCGCCGCAACTTGCCAAATCCAATGGGTGTCGCTGTGCACAAGGGTGATGTGTACTGGGTGGATCGTAACCTGGCTTCAGTATTCAAAGCTTCAAAATTGGCTGGCAACACTTCTCTTCCAACTTCAGTGCGCACAAACTTACCTCGACTTCGAGATATTGCCATCTTTGATGTGGCAAATCAACCGATGGATGAACATAACCCATGTCTGAGGTTGGGGAATGGCGGATGTGACCAGCTATGCTTCTCCTTCCCATTAGAGCCAGCCACGATCGAGAAGACACAATATCGCTGTGCTTGTGCGACTGGTGAGCTGACTGTTACATTAAGTGGTGGGGACGGACGGAAGTGTGACTCTGTGTCAGAGTTCCTTGTGTTTTCAACTCGCACTGAGATCCGAGCAATCAGTCTTGACCCACATTCTACAAATTTGCCCTTCAAACCAGTGGTAAGTATATATGTTCTTCATGCTTTTACTTTTTCTTGTGCCTCCATTTTGAAATCCTGTATTTTTAAGTTGTACATGCTTGATTAATTTTTTACAAGCTTTTTGCTCTCTCTATTGTATGGTAAGTAACAAGTTATTTAATTACTTTACGGAACTGTCATTCTGATTATCAGTTAAGCACCAAAATGAAAATAAAGTATCTAACCACAGTGCCTTGAAGAAGTATAGGAAGAAGGGGTGAAACTCACATAGTCTTCAGTCAGCATGAGCTGAAAATTGCGGGTATCATTACATTTTGGTCTCTCTGTCTCCTAGAATAATATTGTAGGAGGCTGGTGGGCCCCAGGCTCAATCTGAATGTGGTGTTGAAGAAGGAAATTTTTTTTATCAGAATAAAATCCGTCATCCATCCCATACCTGGCCTCTTTATGTAGTTATCCCAACTTATAAATTGAATGCTGACTTTATTGATGTTCTTCAAATACAGAAATAATTTTCTGACTCTTTGGTGTTAAATGGAAACAAGGTTCCTATATTATGAGGTTAAGACATAAACTGGAGATGTTCCTACATAAAGGGATTAATAGTTGAATAATCGTGATGAAGGGAATAAATGACAGATATTCATTTTGAAGGACTTAGGGCAGTAAATAATCTGAAGTGGATATTAGAGAAATAGAGTCTGAAAGTCCATGTGTCAGGACAACTGGTGGTGTCAGAACACAACATCAGATTCTTATTCAAAGAGTTCTGAGTTTGATCCCAAATCAAATCTGTGTGCTTATGTACTGAAACCTTTACCTCTTTTAAAGGTAGAGAAAGTTGTGAAAATGTGAAGAATATTGGGCTGCCCCATGGTTTGGAGCATACATTTAGCTGTAATTCCCCCTGCTGACTGCTGTTCTCATGATCAGCCTATCACAGGGGTTAATATTATCTGACTTGTGAGTGACTGATTCCAGAAATGAATTGTACACCCATACCTTGGCAGGCAGAGACAAGAAGGGTCAAACAGACCTTATCTGGAGGCACTAGAAACCAATCTAACCTACCAGTCATCTTGTGTCATGGAGCTAGTTCTTTCCATTGCATTGTCATTGTTTTTCAGCTTGTAGTTTTTTAACCTGTGATATTGTATAGTCTTATAAGTGGACACTGGTGTTTCAGAGGAACATACTTCTTTCATCTTCAGGGTTGAAGTAGGTATGGTGAGGAATCAGTTGGGTTATAAAGAAAGTGGTTACTCAGATCCACAGGAGGGGGAGAAGAGGTAGAACCTGGTCTGGGTAAATAAGAACAGTGAACAGGAAAGTGGCCCCTTTTAGGACCACATTATTACCCCCTTCTGTGGATATGATTGGCAAACTCATAACCTGCCTATATAACCCAATTGTATTCTACATACTTCAACCCTGAAGATGGAGGTAGCATATTCCTCCAAAATGGTGGTCTCTGCTTGCAGTCCTGTAACCTATAAAACCACACTCTTGAACAGTCACAACTGTCAAGACCTCAAAACTGCTGTAACTTTTTTTTCCTTTCTTTATAGGGGAATCTGACAAATGTTGTTGGCGTAGACTTTGATTATGCAGATCATAAGCTGCTCTTCACCCAGATCAGGCCGTGGGCACGCATTGCTTGGATGTCCAGCACAGAACCCAGTGCCAGTAATATGCAGAATATTATCAATCGCGGTATAAACCCTGAAGGAATTGCATATGACTGGACACAAAAGAAAGTGTATTGGACAGATTCATCCAACAACAGTATCTATGCCATGAACATGGATGGAACAGATCTAGTTATGATTGCTCGAGTTGAGCGTCCCAGGGCCATTGTGGTGGACCCATGCAATGGGTGAGTTGCTGGTGTGTCAGAGTGGATTTTACACTGTGTGTGATAGTTTTCTGTGTAATCTGATGGTAGGGGTGTGATGGTTCCTGGGATTAGATAAGATACTTCTGTGTTAAACAAAATAAATTTATTAAAGAGAGACATTTTATACTACCTTATTTGGTACATGTAGCATGCAAGATGCAGGTAAGGAATATTTATAGAATTCTAGCTGATATAACTGAATTTGGATGTGTAGACGTGCATATTTAGAAATGCTGCACATTTGGCAGCTTCTCAAGAAGGGCTCAGCTTCATGAGTGAGTGAGTGATATAGATATGCATTGGACAGTAATATTAAAATGGATGGATATTTGTTTATTTATTGATTTAGTTAATGATTATGTCAGTATCTGAGACTAAATAGCCTCAAATTCCACCTTTCCTTTGTATTTCCTTCTTCCAGTGATTTTGCCCATTCTTCAGGAGTTAGTCTGTTCAGTAGGGTCCAGTGATTGAGGTTAACTCTTTCTAATGGATCCAAGAGAGTAGGTGTCTCTCATCCTTTCACACAAGGATGACAGTAGATCAAGAATCTGAAACGTTTTGTTCTTTAGAATACCAGCTAATCGAAATTTAACAATCCTAAGAATTTAGGAGTCAGTTTGTACATGAGTAACAAATGGTGATGTATGGCTTGCATCGTAGGTCACTATACTACACAGACTGGGGCCGTTTTGGAACGTCGGGTCGAATATTCAGAACAACAATGGCTGGTTCTCTGAAGAAGGCTATTGTGGATAAAGATCTGTCACAACCAAGTGGTCTGGCCATTGACTATGAAGACAGGATGCTCTACTGGACAGATGCTGTGAGGGAGAAGATTGAGAGAGCCACAATGAATGGAACTAACAGAGAGGTGAGCAGACACAGTTCAGAACTGAACAGTATTAGATTCAGCAGAGTGTTAACATGTGTATATGCTGTCCACACATTGTTAGGCATACTAAGTACATGTTCTGTGTAATGTTTACAGTTTAGTTTAACTAGTAACATAGCATCAAGTAACCAAGTATAATTAGAATGATGAGGACGAGATGGGCAGGGCATGTAACACAAATAGGATATTGGTGGAAATGTTGGAAGGAAAGAGACCAGTAGGAAGATGAAGATGTAGGTGGGTGAACAGTATTAAAATGGATCTTGGAGAAATAGGATGTGATGATATGGACTGGATTGATCTGGCTCAGGATAGGGACCAGTGTATGGATCTTGTGAACATGGTAATGAAACCTTTGGGTTCATAGAATGCTGGGAAATTCTTGAGTAGCTTCACAATTTGCAGTTTCTCAAGAAGGGCTCAGTTCCATGAACCAATGAACATAACTACATGAGACATTGCTAGACCAACATTATCTTATGCTGGTGAATCATGGCCAGTGAGAAGAATGTGTTAGGTGAGGTTAATATCAGCATATCTGGACTTCATGAAGAAGGCTGTGAGGAGCACACTTCAGACTGTAAAAGAGTTGAAGAAATTATGAAAGAAGTACAGGTTCAAGAAATAAGAGAATATGTGAAGCAGTACAGATGAACCCAGAAAGAACTCATTGACAGGATGAGGTCTGACTAAAAAAAGAAATATTGGGGTATCAATCAGTGGAAAGAGAAAGGTGGACTTCTGAAATGATTGAAGGATTCTGTTTCGTAATGTCCATCTTAGATGTATGGCAAGGTAAGGTTTCCATCCATCTCAGAACTCAGCAGGACTAACACTGGAAAGGTTAAGAAATGAGTAAACAAGATTTAGTCCATGGTTTGGAAAGTTACAGCCCACAGCATTGTTCTGACAACATTAACCCTCTCAGATATTCAAGCTCATTTGTGCTTCAATTGTATTTCCCTTACAACAGTCCTATGGTACCCTCAGTGTGCCATGATTGTCTCAAGGTTGTTGCAGCCTTTGGGGAACAAATGATATCAGAGTGGTAGGGCTTGATGTTAGTGCCTCTGTGTATCTGACTGATGGAGGTAGCCCCAGGAAAGCATTTCTTGTCAAATTGAATGGAAAGGTTGACAATATAGCCTCTTATTAATCTTTACTTTCTCATACATAGTGAAGGGAATGTACTGTACTTGCAAGAAAATCAAGATTTTGGTGGAACTTCAAGCTTTAGGGATTCTAATAAAATATTTACTGCTGTAATTTCTTATACTTAGAACTGAGAAAGAGAGGAAATGAGATGGGGTCAGACTGGATGTAATTCATGAGAGCAGCAAGCAGAGTTCAGGATCTCATGTCCCAGTCCGTTATTAACAGCGTTACTTTTATATATTTTGATATATCTATAAATTATGGTCATTCAGGATAATTAATTGCCAACTATTTAATGCTTCTTGAAGTACTGAATTCTTTTTTTAAGGCATTCTGGCCTTTGATCACTTCAAAATAGCCCAGTTTATGCCCAAAGCAAAAATAATTTCCTGCCTCTGATATAGGCTTCATGTTGAAATCATGATTTTACAAATAACAGATTTAAGTGAAGTCTCTTTTCCACTTGGTGGTGCATAAGAAAGCCGTCGGTTATGTTCCTCCATGTTTAGTCCTATATTACATATTTCACTTTTCTATTTTCACTTAGGTTCTGGTTTCTGCAACCATCTACCCATTTGCAATTACTGTCTATGGTAACTACATGTACTGGACAGACTTGCAACTGCGTGGAGTGTACCGAGCTGAAAAACACACAGGTGCCAACATGATAGAGATGGTGAAACGTTTAGAAGACTCTCCAAGGGACATTCACGTTTTCTCAAGCTCACGCCAGAAATGTCAAGTTAATCCATGTCACATCAACAATGGAGGTTGTGCACAATCTTGTCATCCAGGACCTAACGGCACAGTAAGTCAATGTTGTGCACGTTCTGTGAACTAAAGCCATGTGAAGAGGGTTGTATTGTCTGTGGTGTTACACTACTGAGTATATATGGCTAAAATACATATGGCTTTGGCTGACATTTTAGATTTCTGGGGCAGAGAAAATTAAGTCTAGGTTATGATACCAACTAGTGTCATAGGTTGTTCTGTTTGGAAAAAGGTAAAGCTATCTCTGTAACAGGCTGTGGAGGTCCTTGGGGTTGTGAGACATCAAGGCTCCAACATTTTCTAGACAGTCAGCTCACAGACGGTGGTGAGGTTGTCAGCCCTTCGCGCTAGCCGCCATGTACTCCCAGGAAGATTCCTGGTACTCATTTCTGTTAGAGGCTGAGTCGACCCCAGGGCCATAGTGCGGCTGGAAGGGTTACGTTAATTGAAAAATTCAGTGGCCTCATCGGATATCAAACTGGTGACCTTCTGGCTTGTAGCATAGTGCCTCAACTGACTGTACTAGTGTGTGTCCTTATATAAGGACTTTAACCTAAATAAATGAAAGTGTTTGTTATTTTAATGTGAATACACAGAAAATTTCTTGTTATGAACTAAGTGCAAGTTCTTTTGGTGTTGTGTTCCCACAGGCTGAGTGTAAATGTAATGATAGTATGAAATTGGTAAATGAGAACCGAATGTGCGTGGCCAAGAACCTGACCTGTGAAAACAACAAATTCTTCTGCCGCAATGGCAAGTGTATCTCTCGGATGTGGGCATGCGATGGGGACGATGACTGCGGAGACAACAGCGATGAAGATGAACAGTACTGCAGTAAGTGTGCTGTGTAGATGTTCAGATGTTCAGAGTATACAGTTGTTTGCATGGATCTGTTGTCAATCTCTATGACTGACAGATTATTCAGAGCAGCTGCTAATGATACAGTGCAAGTCATGTAGCCACTCTGTCCACCTTCACTAGAAAGAAATGGTTTGAGCTGTTTGATATAGGCCAGAGGAGGCTGGAGGGGAATGTAACAGTAAGCATGCTGTGACCCCTACCATACATGGGACTTCTTTCTATGGCCTCAGTGTAATATACGTGTAGACACATTTCATACTTCTTTGCATCACATATGCACTTTAATGTGGGTTGCCTAACAAGAAAGCTTTGCCATATATGTTTTGTCTTCCAAATGCTCCTCAGTTTTCTCCCATATTCTTCCTTAGGTATGGCATGTTCCTTAATCCATTGTTCTCACTGTGAACTCTCTCCTCCTCATAAATGTTTTTCTGTCTGTTTCATATGCTAAACCTTCTTTGGCATTCTTTTGTCATTTATTCTTCCGATATTCCCATATCATGTTATTCTGTTCTTCATTTATCTTCTGCTATATTTGTCCCTAAATTCTCTTTATTTCCTTAATTCCTTACTCTTATTTCTCCCAGTTTCCCTTCTGTACTTTACAGAAATCTCATCTCAGCTGCTGTTAGTCTATCAATGTCTACTTTTGTCCATAAGTATATCAGTATCATAATTGTATAGTTCAGTGCAAGGTATTATCATTGGTGTGACATTCATCTCTCTCATTGCCAAGGTAATTAATTTTCTAGTGTGATTGGTTCCTCTTAGATTGAAGAACACTCTTTACTTGTTCTTTTTTGTGATTTGTTTACAGCATTCCATTCTTGCAGCCCTAATGAGTTCAGGTGTGCAAATGGTCGATGCATATTCCGATCATGGAAATGTGATCACGAAAATGACTGTCGAGATGGTTCAGATGAGTTGGATTGTAACTATCCAGCATGCGCTAAAGAAGAGTTCACGTGTGACAACCATCGGTGTATACCCATGTCACAGGTGAGTATGATGTCTTACAAAAGTTCTGACTTTTATTAATTAACCTGTTGTACTTAGAATTTGTTAAATTCAAGATGATGGACAGAGTTCAATTAATAGTCATGTTTGATTGAAGTTATAGAAGTTAGAAACCAATTTGAAGGAAACCTGGCTCCGAAGTGTCTTGCAATCTACTACTTCATGGACCAAAGGATTAATATTTGCTCCATTTTCAGCATTCAAATGTATCTTCATAATTTCAGGTTTGCAATGGTGTGAATGACTGCAAGGACAATGTGACTTCAGACGAGACTCATGATCGCTGTCCACGCAACACAACTTGCCCAGTAAACCATCTGAAATGCGAGAAGACGAATATCTGTGTCGAGCCGTACTGGCTCTGTGATGGAGACAATGACTGTGGTGACAACAGCGATGAGGATGCACTGCATTGTGCTCAGCGCACATGCCCACAGAACAGTTTCAGGTTGGGTGACACAGTTTCTTTGAACTACTTTGGAGGAGAAATATAAATTACAAGTCTTTGGGAAGAATTTTTGAGGGCAATATTTGGTCCTACAAGAGATGACGTAAATGGCTGATTTCTTATATTATATAGTAAGTCCTGGGGGCACATGATAGCATAGTTGGTTGAGGCACTATGCTACAAGCTGGAAGGTCACTGGTTTGATTCCTGATGAGGAGATTGCATTTTTAAGTTAACCTAATCCTTCCAGCCGCACTATGGCCCTGGGTTGGACTCAGCCTCTAACAGAAATGAGTACCAGGAATCTTCCTAGAGGTAAAAGGAGGCTGGCACGTGAGGCTGACAACCTCACCACCATCTGTGAGCTGATTGTCTAGAAAATCTGGGAGCTTTAACATCTCACAACTGTATGGGCCTCCATGGCCTGTTACAGGGATAACTTTACATTTTAAAGCAGGAACTATTGATTTGTGTTGACCTCAGGATAGAGGATAAAATTGTTCCTATGCTTAATTAAGCACAATACCATGAATTCATGTATGGAAGTTGAAGTATATGTCCAAGCATTTTTACAGTCAGCACTAGTTTGAAGCGACTGGATACCTTTATGCTGTAGGAGGTTTACCCTTGAGAAGGAGCCTGCAGTTCCCATGGGATAGGAGGCTGGGTGGGACCAAGAGCCCAATCTGGTTGTTGTGGAGACAAGAAATGCTATTATCTCTGCCAAGAATCAAACCACAGTTATCTAGTCAGAGCCTAATTAGTGTATTGTCAGAACTGTGCTGGCTGTCACAATGGGTTGGAGTAGATGAGGAGAATGCATATGAAGTTTTGGTTGGTAAACAGCTTGAACAGGCTAGAGGAATAAGATCTGAAAGTCTGTGACGATGGTACTGCAAATATTATGTTTCTGGACATCATCCACCGTCCTGCTTTTATCTACGCAAAACACCATCCTGCTTTTATTTCAAAACACAACATTTCAGATGCTGGATTATCTCTCCATCTTCAGGTAGAATCTACTCAGTTGATAGATCTAGTCCTTATCTCTGGACACCTGCACCATGATAAGATATAAAAGTGCAAGCTGAGCACAGCACAAACCATCTGCGAGAGCTAAGACAAAACATTAAAATATTAAAAACTACACGTATAAGGCCTTGCACCTGAGAACTATAAAGATAGAAATCATCAATGGAGAGATGGAATTCTCCATTGATGATCTCAACACAAGTCTAGAGAAAGATGGGAGGATGGCATGAAGATGAATCTTACAGAAGTGGGTCATGAGTGTTCAAGGAGGATGAACTTAGCTGAGAATGGTGTCCAGTGACAGCCTTAAGGAATTAGCTTGTTAGTTCCTCAGAGATATATTTGACATGCACATTAGTTGCATATGCTATGAGTGGAAACTTTATGAGTCTGTTTACTGTTAATTTGTAACAACATCCCTGTCATATTGTCTGCAGGTGCCCAAATCACCGTTGCATCCCAGCAACATGGTATTGTGATGGTGATGATGATTGTGGAGATGGATCTGATGAACCGCCAGAGTACTGCAAGTCTGAAGGTCGGACATGCTTTGGTGATTTGTTCACATGCGATAATGGAAACTGTATTCCTCGTATCTATATCTGTGATGGTGATAATGATTGCCTTGACAACTCGGATGAAGATGAGAGACATCAGTGCAGTAAGTAATCTTTTAATTGGCATATTTTTCTGGATGAGTTCTGTCAGTAGCAGTTGGCAGTGTGTAATCTCAGTTATTGTCATTTGGATTTCTAATTTTTATTCCATATACTGTTATATAAAAGCCGAGTCTTACTATTCTGAATTGATTCTGTCCATATACTTATTCTGTTGTTATTTAAAAGCCATTGTTGTTAGCAGTTAACAGATATAACTATGAGGTGACTGTTGGAAGTAGCTCTGACAATGTTTCAGTTGGCTTTTCAGTCTCAAGGTCCTCCAAAAACAAATTTCAAATTATTGGTACCGCGCATATTCAGTGAAATCTTCACACATTTAACCTACAAAAGTGGATCAGTGGAGAGGTTATCTGTGGAAACTGTAGTTAGAGATGTGAATTGTTTATTTCAAAGGCACTGATTTATTGCATCTGAGATCATTCAGAATAACGTGTAATTGTATATTAATAAAAGGGAATATTACAACGTGTAGAAGCAAAAAATGATACGTATAATGGCAAAGCCAAAATAATGTGTTACTAATTCATGTGTCTGTGAGTATGTAAGACATTAATTTTTTATTTCCATAGATTGTACCATCTGCAATTTGTGAAGAATGAAATGAATAAACAGTATTATGATGAGAAATGTCATTGAAAATGTAACAGGCTACACTACAGTATGTCTCAGTACTCTGGTACTCTCTTCCGATCTGAGATAGCTCAGTCAGTGTTGAGACTAGCTATAGGTTGAACAGCCATTTCTCTCTATGGGTTATTTAATGTCACTTTCAGAATAGAGACTATATAGTGTTGGATGGTAGGATGATGAATGAGTGATGAATTGGAAAGAATTTGGAAGGAAGCAGCCATGGACTGATTGAAGTACTAAGATGACATTTGCCTCGAGCGACTAAGGAAAACCACAGAAAACCTTAGTCAGGATATCCGATGTTCCAGAGATATGGAACTAAGTTCCTTCAAAATACAGGGCTAGAGCATTACATCTAGACCAGTGTATTCAATCTGAACCATGTTTAGGTTTTGACTGGGGTTGAAATTTTATTAAAATGATCATGTCTTGAATGGCTCTCAGGCCCACCCAGCTTTCTATCTACATACCCACATTATATTTCCCTAGGAAATATTTTAATATTCACATTTATACCTAGGTCTCACAAATGATCTGTTCCTTTGACATTTTTTAACTAATCTTATTTCCTCCACATGCACTGCTTTTACCATCTGTCTAATTCTTCCCAATTTAACACCCAAATAATAATCAAAGGTAATGTTCACAAGTTATATAATCTTCTTCATTATCCTGTTACAGTAACATTGTGAATTAAATATTTGCAGATGCTCGAACATGTGATGAAGAAACAGAATTCACTTGCACAGAAAACAAGATGTGGAACAGGGCGCAGTGCATACCGCGCAAGTGGTTGTGTGATGGTGATCCTGATTGTGTGGATGGAGCAGATGAGAATGTTACATTACACCATTGTTCAAACCCTGTTCCTTGCAGTGAGGATCAGTTCACCTGTAACAATGGCCGTTGTATAAACAAGGTAAGGGTATCCTCTGCCCCTTTTCTACAGCTGCCCAAATTTCTTTATACTTTCACCTGAATGAAAGAGACAGCTTGAAGGCCTAGGTGTAGTTGGGAGCATAATACTGGAATGGATCTTAAAGAAATGGGTGGGACACTGCACAAATTTTATTTGACTCAGAACAGGAACATGTGGGGACTGTTTTCGAATATGGCAATGAAACTTATGGTTCCATAAAAGATGGCAAATTTCTTGACTAGCTGGGTGACTGTTACCTCTGAAGAAGGACTTTGCTCCATGGAATTAATTAGTCAGATTTTATTAAATGGCCTGGTAGGTGGAAGTGCTAATGGATGCATAATTATGACCTGCCTATAATGCATCCATTTTACACATTTCATAGAAGAGATTTATAAACACATTTGATTTTCCTGCAGCAGTGAATATTAAGATATAGTCTTCTGGAATATGCCACTGTGTAGTCAGGTAAATAAGTACCAGTATGCAAGAGCACCCTTTTGCTTCTATTCACAGTCTTGAACCCTGTCTTCTTAATTTCTAATATGTTTTCATGATTGACACTAATTTCTGTAGAGGTTGTGGAAAGTGAAGTGGAACGAATTCCTGAAAAATGCTGTCTTCTGGAATGTGACACCATATAGTCCAGTAGAAGTTTACCAGTGTTTCAGATGAACCTGTGCCCTCTAGGATTGAAGAAGAAACCAAAGAAGCAGACAGGAAAATTCCTCACTTCTTGCTTTTTGCTCATCTTACTCTTGGCTCCTGAAGATGCTGGCAATATATTCCTTTGAAACATTGATGAACTTCTATCAGGTTGTGTGGCATCACATGTCAGAAGATGGTACTCTATGTAGACTCTACTGCAGGAACTTAAATCTCAAGTGAATCTCTCTGTGGCAGGGTTGGCTGTGTGACCACGATAATGATTGTGGGGATGGTTCAGATGAGGGCAAGTTTTGCAGCTCACAGTACAAGACCTGCAGCACTCTTGAGTTTGCATGTCAGAACTTCAAATGTATTAGAACCACATACCGCTGTGATGGCGAAGATGATTGTGGTGACAACTCTGACGAAGTTAATTGTCCCAGTGAGTACTAGTTAGTCATCTGAAAATCACCAGTATTAACCTATCAGTCTGGAGTGTCATGTGCTGCATGCAGATGACTATTCATGCTTTGTACTTCCATCTCACAAATAGTATTTGGACCACATGAATTCTGCTGCATGTACATCTGAGATAAAGTTGTAGACTGTTACGTGGTGTAAAACTCAGAGCTGTAAGAATGTTTTCTGCTTTCCATATAGACTTTTTGTTCAGTATACGAGGAAATCTTCCCCATCCTCTTCCTCTTCCTCATTTCTTTTGCGGTATGGCAGTCAAACTTATTCTGACTTCACATACATATTCAATTTTTCCAATTCCCTCCTCTGGCTTGGAGTCCTTCTAGTTTATGCTGTAGAATCTGTTTTGGTATTCTATCATCAGCCATTCTTTTGAAATGGCTTATCCAGTTCTGCCTCTTCAATTCCTTCCTGCCATCTTCATTCTTAGTACATTCAAGTTTAGTGTGACTTCATGGGTCATACTGGCAGTAGCACAAATTCTGGTAGTTCTCTCTTCCCAGAGAGATAAAAATGTGCTAGACCAAGTGGAATAACCTGTCTCTCTCTAGATATGTGGTTGTGCAGATAGGCTGATAACATTATTGTATAAAAAATCTGAATACTGTGTAGTTCATGTGAAGAAATTAATAAATTAGTTTAAATTTTCATTGTTAAATTAATGAACAGTACTTTGTAACATGATTGTCTTTGTTACTCAGAAAAAGAAAAGCCTCAGTGTGCACAAGGCCAGTTCATGTGTAACAGCGGACAGTGTATCGACTACCATCTGGTGTGTAACAAGGTGTCAGATTGCCCTGATGACAGTGATGAGCCACTTCATTGTAACGTAGATGAGTGCTCTAAAGTGGAAGTCCATCAGTGTGGACATAAGTGTGTGGACACTCTTACAGGCTTCTATTGTGAATGTAACCAGGGCTACAAGTAAGTATCACAGACCTTGTTTATAGGCTCTTAAACTTGTCTTGGCCATGGCACAGATATTGTGTATTATTACTTGTATGTAAGAGTTCTGGTTGGAATTAAAGAATTTCCCTCATACTACCTACATGTGAGAGAAACTTACCATGGGAGATCCCAGCAGCTTCATTTTGCTACATTTCAAAGTAATACATGGAGCCTTAGCCAACAAAATAGCACTTACCCTGTATACAATTCTGGGCAGAACGAATTGTTTACTTCCGTTTAATATGACATGGACCACATAGAAAACAACATGTACAAGAGTGGCTGTCTCTTCTGGCTTCACTATTCTAGCTTTCAGGAATTGGTTGGGGGAACATATGCAGACAGGAAGGTACAGGAATTGGAGTGCATCTTTAATCATTTCATGAAGTATCTTAGGAGTCAGATGTTCTGGCAGGTTTATATTTTCATGAAATTGCTTTTTCTTACAGGTTGCTTGAAGATGGAAAAGCATGTGCTGATATTAATGAGTGTGTGGAGACACCTGGTGTGTGTTCACAGTACTGTTCAAACACACCAGGCTCATACTATTGCAAGTGTAATGAACAGTATTATGAGCGGGCAACTGATGAACACACATGTAAGAGACGAGACAAGACTCGACCCTGGCTTGTCTTTACCAACAAGTACTATGTTCGAAACATGTCTCTAGATGCTTCACAATATTCACTCATTCATCAGGACCTCATGAACGTTGTAGCTCTTGATTTTGATTACAAAGAAGGTCACATGTACTTCTGTGATGTCAGTGCCAAGACAATATTCAGGTTTGTAGCTGCATTATTGTAAATGCAAACTAACTGGATGTCACTCATAGCTGTGGGATTTGAGATTCTTATGAATGAAATTAAGATTGCTGGTAGAATAAAATAAATTTGCTTCCAGGAACAAAATGAAATGACCTATACAGTGCAAATAGCTGTAATAAAGTAATGAAACAAAAAATTAAAATACAAATTATAATATTTTATTAACCTGTCATTTTGGATTGCTGTGCGCTGCATGCTGGTGACTATTCATGCTTTGTGCTTCATTCTCGCAAATAGTATTTGAACTACATGAATTCTGCTGTATATACAGTGAGATAAAGGTCTAGGCTATCATTGCTGTATTGACTGGATTTATTGATTTTTCTTAGAGTAAATGATCATGGAAATTTTGGTTGTAAATCAGCTGTTGGATATTTCATTGGCTAGTAAACATTTATCAAATGTGAATATTGAAGGTATTTTGAATTAATATTTTCTCTTATTCCTATGACATTAATTTTGATTATTATGGAAAGGAAGTATGTCTGAATTAAAATCCTTAGTAGAAACTGAATGCACCATGTTACGGACTGACACTTAAATCCTCGCTTGCTTAAGGGTTAAAAAAAACAACATATAATTGATTAACATTAGACCATGACAAACTGAATGCAAACAGTTCTGTGTCAATGAAATTATTTCTGTGATATAACACTGTATATTTGGTAGAATGTTCCCAGTAATTATGAGGAATTGTTGGTAACATTCTGCCAGACTACATGGTGTTACGTCCCTCAGTACAAATATAATTTTAAATCCTGCTTATAATTCTTAAAAGAAAAGTAATAATAAATTGTAATCTTGTCCATACACCTGGCAGATTTAGAGGCTGGAATTCAGAGAAATATATATAAAGAATATTTAATACTATTTGAATTTACACAATTGCCAACTTATGAAAACATAACCTGTATTTTCTTTGAAACCAAAAGTAAACAGACTCTCTTTTGCTAACATTCTGCTGCTGACTCCTGACCACTGTTGCTATTATCACAGTTATCTGAATACAGATTGGAAACTCCATCTGCATTCTTAAAACTTTCTCATCTTAAGCAATTATCATTTAATTTTGCTGTGGACACCTGTAAAAGTTTATGTATTCAAACCAATTTGTTTAGTAAAATTCTTTTAGTGAAGCCTAGTTCTACAGATTTTGCAAGAATTGCAGGGGCTCTTGGTGTTCCTATTTGTTTCACTGTGTAGTCTTGTAGGTATGTAGGCATCAAACATATCAGAGCAACACATTGCCTCCATAGTCAGAATAGAAAATATTGGCAGTATGTTCCTTTGAATTGTTGATACCCACTGACTAGACTACATGGTGTCATAGTCCAAAAGATCGTGATATGTCATGAAACCCTCAAATCATTTAACTGTAGGAATCTTCTGTTAAGAATTGAACAGTAATGTGAAATCTTGAAATTTTATGTACTACACAGTTGTGATGCAGAAATTTCAGACTGGATGAATTTTACAAAATAATTTTGCAATTGTTGCAGGTCACGAATAGGATCATCAGAGCCAAAAGAGCCTGTTATCCGCCATGACAGCCATGGTCTTGAGGGAATTGCTGTAGATTGGGTTGGTCGCAAATTGTACTGGCTTGACCGACACAGCAAACAGCTGGATGTCGCTGAGCTTGATGGCACTCGACGCAAAACCCTTAAAATTGGCATTGCTGATCCTCGTGCCCTCGCTGTTCACCCTGGAACTGGTTATTTATACTTCACCAGCTGGCATCTGCAGGCAAGATGTTTCTGAGACTTGTCTTAGCCCTTTCATTCTCATATTAGCAAGATCTATGTTGGCTTCCCCAATACTGAATTTATTTTCTACATAAAATCAACGGACCAAAATGAAACAATTTAAAACAATTTAAAATTATTTTCTACAACTGTTTCTTATTTGCTACATGTGATATCATTTATATATTGTGATGCAATAGAATAGCTTAACAGGAGATGTTATCCGTTGCCAGGCAGTGTCACAGTAAACACACTATGTTGTCACCAAACAAATGAGCTATTGCTACACACCGAATTAACACATGACAATGGAAGAACTGTGGGAATGCTGTTCTGTGTGCAGCCTGACCANACAGGAGATGTTATCCGTTGCCAGGCAGTGTCACAGTAAACACACTGTGTTGTCATCAAACAAATGAGCTATTGCTACACACTGAATTAACACATGACAATGGAAGAACTGTGGGAGATGCTGTTCTGTGTGCAGCCTGACCTATAGCTATGTGATGAGGAGCAGTAAAGCCATGAGTTAGTTGGGAGTCAACATTTTTGAGACAGTTGCAAGCCAATAAGGACATCCGTTGTCAGGCAATGGCTAGTGAAGACATAAAAGACTTAGCATGTTCTGTAGTGAGAAGTAGATTGTGCAAATTAGTGAGAGCCTTATAATTACTTGTAGTTACAATTTATAAGTGTTCAATAGATCCAATTACCAATCGAAACCCCATGTCTAGTGACCAACACATGACAGTATTTAGATTCGCTATCACTGTTGCTAGAAGTGACATCTGAACCTATTTATGCACTAGATTCTAGATTACTTTCACTTGAAAAGAAATGCTTATATTTCATGGACACCATAATGCAAGCAAGAGGATGATGCAAACGGATGGTTAATTCTGTTTCTATGCTTTGGCCAGAATGTAAACTGACATTGTTCTGCTGTTCTCAAGAGATTGCAGTAGCTTAGAGTTAAATTAGAAGCAACTAGAATAAATACAGTCCATATAATTTGGCTGCAAAATTTGAATCATGTCTACTCTGCTGCAGAAAGGGAATACTACTCGTACAAAATTAAGTGTACGTGATCACTGCAGTGAAGTGGTCATGGAAAAGGTTCAGAATTTGATTCTCCCCTAACCTCTTGCTTGATCTACGGTTTGTTACATTGGCCAGAGCATGTTGCTGACTGTTTGCAGTTGGAGGTCCAGATCTTGATACTTGCAGGGTGAAGGGAGAAGGGATGGAAACAGACATGTTTGCTATGTACTCCTGCATTCCTTGCAAGTCTCAGGGCTAGTTATCAGCTGTTCCTCCATCTAGTGATAAAATTAAGAATATATGGGGGCCAGACCTCTTCTCCCCATGTATGTACATGTATCTACATGACATGGTGCGTAATTAATCAAGTACAGGGGCAACTTTACTTCTTACATATTTTATTGTTATTTATTGTTCTAGGCATTTATTGGTAAGATGGGAATGGATGGTTCCAATTTTACAAGAATTCTTACATGGGAAAATGACATCGCATGGCCGAATGCCCTCACCATTGACTATTTCACGGATCGCATCTACTTTGCTGATGCTCACTTGGATTATATTGCTTTTACTGATCTGGAAGGACACCATCGTCATGTTGTGCTTTCGGGTCAAAAGGTGCCCCACGTGTTTGCTGTTACACTGTTTGATGACTACCTCTACTGGACTGATTGGAATCTCAAGGCCATCGGCAAAGCCAACAAGTTCACAGGTATGACAAGTGTTTCTTATTTTATGGCAACTGAAAAGAAGAGCTAATGTAGCAGGCAGTGATATGAGAGTTATAAGATAACTGAAATATCAGCAGTTGTAATATTTAAGTCGGTTCTCTTCGATTTTGTCCATTTAGGTAGTTTCTGTATATAAACTGTAATTCCTACTGTTGCAGCTTGGATTTGATCACAGGTTTTCTTTTGGGTCAGTTTCCCCTGCCAGTTTTTATTCCAACAACTGCTCCATATTCAGTAATCATCCTGTGATCGATGCTATATAGCCTTGACACAGCAAGCTTAAAAAGAATTGAGAAAGAATTGGTAATGAGTTCGGTCTCTATCTTCAGATGGAAAAGATACTGTCACGTGTTTTAGTGACTAGAGATGGGATATGGATTCGTGCATAGATATACTGACCATGTGCAGGTCATAACAACAAATAACTTTAACACTATTTCTGATTTCCACGTTACAAATCACTCCACCCTAAGTCTTCTCAGTCTACTTTCAGTAGGCTTTACTTGATAATAGCTCTCCACAATGGTTATTCCTCAGCAGTGTCTTCACTAGAGATTTCTTGTTACCGAATCTTAGCTGCGGAGATTCTTCCACTTCTGTTGCCTGCTGATTGACGCTCCACAGCTGAACTCTTTTCTCTCTTATAGTGCTAGTTATCTTCAAGATAATTCCTCAGCATGGACCACGCAGAAAACACGGCCTCTGTCACTGATGAGGTGTGTTTACCATGCCATTGTATGGCAACAGTGGCGGCACAGACCCCCATACTAAACGCAGCCATTCCGTTGTCATGTTCGTGTATTACTTAGCAATGGCCATTTCTCTGGCTCCACAGTTCTTGCATGAAGCAAATACACCACAATATGAAAATATTGGTACTGTGTTAGGCCTCTTGCTGCAGCTAATCTCATAACTTAGATTCATAGAAGACATTTCCAAAATGATGTGGCTCATACATAAGTTGAACTAGGATGATAGACAAGTTCAAGGATATAGCCCTCAACATTGTATGATACCATGTCACATAACTTTGAGCTCGGATTTGAGATTCTCACAGAAGTGACTATGAAGGGTACAGTCTTTGGGAGAGAGGCAGATGTTTCAAAGGAAAGTATCACCACTATCTTCAGCTTAGCTTGTCACCTGCTTCTGTTTTCCTGCTTGGCTTACTCTTCACACCTATAGATGGAGGTGACATGTTCTTGCAAAATATTGGGCTCTCTCTAGACTACAGTTTTATAATCTAGAAGACTCTACTTTTCAGCTTCAAACTTTATCTACAGTTTTATGTGTATGGATGTGATTATTGTGTATTGACAGGTGCTATATGAGATTAAATGTTAGTTGGTAGTGATTTGGGAGCCATGTATGTCTTGAGACACATTCCAAAAGCATATTATATTTCATCATAAAATCTCTACTACTGTGAATACAGCCCATAGACCATATTCACTCCAGCTCAGACTGTACATCTTTGAGTACTAGGATGAGTAGTGCATAAATTGGAAAGGAATTATTCCAATAATTTCATGGAAAGACAGAAGAAAATCATGAACACTATCAGTCAGGATAGCTGGTCTCTGGTGCAAGATTTAAGCCCAGGACCTCCAGAATTCACTGTGTTTGCTATGGTGGGCTCTGTTAGATGCATCATACCTCTTTACATTACTAAGGGAATGGATGTTGTATTAACTTATCTATGTGTAGTTATGTAATATTGTCAGTATCTCTGGCTGTAGCAATGAATGACTGGATGACAGTGAATAATTAATTTGAAATTATGTAGAAGGAAGCAGTCATGGTCTAATTTAAGGTACTATACCAGCATATGTCTGGAGTGACTGAGGCAGTCCTTGTGAAACCTTTGTTACGATAGTTGGTGTCTTGGATGAGATTCGAAATGAGCAACTTCTAAATACAAGTCAGAAGACATCACTGCCTGTGCCAGCTTGCTTGGTGTCTTATTAATAGAACTGAATATTCCGATATAAAATTATGTTACGTGGAAGATGTGTCCGTCAGTTCTGTGATTGATCTTATTTTATATTTACAGGCAAAGACTTGGCGATAATCCGAAACACAACTCATCGTCCATATGACCTGCACATATACCATCCACTGCGACAACTGCCGTATCCTAATCCCTGTGGAAACAACAATGGTGGATGTTCACACCTTTGCTTGATCAGTCCGAAACCGAAGTCTGGCGATGATCCAGTTCCTACAGGCTTCGGAGAGGGAGAGGGTCCGGTGACGTACATATGTGCCTGCCCGAATCAGTTCTACCTCTCACCACAGGATAACAAGACCTGTATTGCAAACTGCACAACCGGACAGCACCGCTGTGGTGGAAATGATGATAAATGTATACCGTGGTTTTGGAAGTAAGCTCTGTCTTTTAAAATTATTTGCGAGTTACGAACCAAATAGGTCTTGTCTATTGCCTCAGTAGAATTTGTGTTAGAGAAATCCTGATGTGTTTCAGTCTTACAAGACCATTATCAGGTGATATAACTTATTAAAATAAACTTTACAATTCATGTGTGTAAAACCTTAAAATGTTAGTAATATCTGGGGTATAATTCCCCTTTATGTTAGACTTATATTACATTATAGTGATGTAGGTTATGTTTAGTGTGGTGGAGTTGAACATGTTATTTTGTTATGCTGTTTTGGGCTGTCTTATACCCACTTTCTGTTGTTGCTGACAAATGTGTGTCAGTACTGGTTAAGGTGGGCCTAGTATATTCCACTTTTATGTTTTATTGCGCTCCTGTTTTAAAATTAAATATTAAATTATGTGATACTGTTTGAATAACTGGATCTTTCTTCTAATTTCATATTTGACATTTCCATATTTATTAATTCTTTGGCCATGCCATAGCTCAGGCAGTTAGTCACTGGCTTCTCACCATGGCGGCCTGGGATCGAGCCTGGGTCTGGTCGTGTGGGATTTGTGGTGTACAGATTGAAGCTGGGGCAGGTTTTCTCATAGTACTTCAGTTTCCCCTGCCAATCTTCCAACAATTTCTCCAAAACCATCACATATCATTTGGGGCTGGTGCAATAGGCCAGTAGTGGCTGCAGTACCAAGTTGTCTTAGTCTCACCCCACTAATAATAACAGTAATAATGATAATAAGATTAAAAAAAATATTCTGTAGTTTCACTTCCAGGTAAAAACGTAAAGCTATCCCTGTAACAGGCCATATAGGCCCATAGGGTTGTGAGATGTCGAGGCTCCCACATTTTCTAGACAGTCAGTTCACAGATGGCAGTGAGGTTGTTAAACTTATGTGTTGGCTGCCCTTTACTCCCAGGACGATTCTTGGTACACATTTCTGTTAGAGGCTGAGTTGACCCCGGGTCATAATGTGACTGGAATGATTAGGTCAACTGAAGAATCAAGTGGCCTCAATGGGAATCAAACCCATGAACTTCCAGCTTGTAGCATGGTGCCTCAGCCATCTACACTACAACGTGCCCAAAAGTTTCACTTTCATGTAACTTTAATATAGGGAATCAGTACTGAATAGCAAACATGGTTTTGATTTGACCATCTTTTTGTGACAGATGTGATGGCGAGAGGGACTGTAAGGATGGCACAGATGAGCCATCCACATGCCCCGAACGTAACTGCCGTGCGGGAATGTATCAGTGCAGTAATGGGAACTGTACGGCATCAGCCACCATCTGTGATGGTGTGGATGACTGTGGAGATGGCTCTGATGAAAAGAACTGTGATTTACCTTGTCCTGAATTGGAATTTAAGTGCAAGTCTAATGGCCGCTGTGTGCTGAATGCTTGGAAATGTGACGGAGATGCCGATTGCAAAGATCGCAGTGATGAATCTCCAGAAATGTGCCGTAAGTTTCTAAATTATTATTACAAACAATTCTTTCCACCTTAAATACACAAAAGTTCTGAAAAGAACTGTTAACTCTGTCATGTCTCTCTGTCCATCTGCATGCAGCACGGCCTAAGACAGATTTTTATCAAATTTTGTAAGGTATACATAATAGCATTTTTTTTGTTGCCCGCTTCAAACCTTGGTTTATTTTGGATAGTTTTAAGAGCCTCCTTGCTTATAGGCATAAATGAACATTTAAATATATATCCTGAATTTTGTTAAAATTTTGAGAACCTTAGTGAAGTGGAACCCCCATTTAATATTTCTTGATGGACAGTTTGCCCTCATCTGTAGTTCATTTCAGTGATCCCTTGCAATAATATGAAAGTTAAATGTCCTCCATCTGAATGTGCTTTGTGGCAACTTTGGATCTAATTTTAATTTTAATCTCAATTTTAATGTTCATTCTAGATTAATATTACCCCCTTTTTTTCTCTCAAGAATGACAGTGCAATAAACAGTGCAGTGCTTCATAGAATGGCACATACATCCATGTAACTGCTTGACAATGACCACAGTTGTTGAAACATGTTGTGTTATGAACTAATTATGAATACTTTGTTGTCTGGTGTGTAGTAGCCGCTTTGTGATTATTTGATAAATATGGGGTCACACGGTAGCATAGTTGGTTGAGGCACTGTGCTACAAGCTGGAAGTTTGCGGAATCAAATCCCAATGTGGTCATTGGATTTTTTTCATTTTACCTAATCCTTCCAGCCGCACTAAGGCCCTGGGGTCGACTCAGCCTGTAACAGAAATGAGTACCAGGAATATTCTTGGAATGTTCTTAGGGGTAAAGGGCGACTGGAGTGTAGGGCTGACGTTACCGCCATCTATGAGCTGATTGTCTAGAAAATGTGGGAACCTCAACATCTCACAACCCTATTGACCTCCACGGCCTGTTACAGGGATGCCTTTACTTACTTTTAATTACATAACTAAGTAACATGACTGGTTTTGATGCATGTGTGTGCTGGATAAGTATGATTGAAAGCAAATGCAACTGGATGCTACAATGTAACATTATTGTGTAACATTCAACCTTGCACCATTGGAATTAGTTAGTGAACTAACAATTTTATTTGCAGATAACAAAGAGTGTGATCCTGGAACAGAGTTTGCATGTAAAAATGGACGCTGCATCCCAAAACTGTGGATGTGTGATTTTGATAATGATTGTGGGGATGACTCGGATGAACCCGCATATATGTGCAGGTAAAGCTTTGTTAGAAACATTTGAGTTGCTCTGTATTTTGTGCTCTTTGAGTTATAGGGTCTGGCAATGGATGGAATTTTATTATGACTGTGATAGACATTTAGGTTCCATGATGAAAGGAATCTCGATAAGTTAAGTGAAATTTATTTCATCTAGACATGAGAGACATTTTATTTTAATGACATGTTATATGGGTGAAAATGTCACAAGCTGATGCATGGGTAAATTATTGTTTTCTATTGTGATTTCGTAATGATTCTGTGTAGAAATTTTTTTTTCTTCTTTGCATTTATAGCATGGGGTAGTTTTATAATTAACTTTGCGAATGTATTGATAGGAACTGAAGTGTGTGTCAGTGAGTTAATTGCAAATTAATAAGTGTTAATTGTATTTACTACTTAGCAGGTTCATTAACCAGTAACACTACAGATGGATATTTTATGGGCGCTAGAGCATCAACTAACATGAATGAGGTTTGCTGGGGTTTTTGTCAGTCTCTCGAAACAGATGCTGGGATAGTACATCAATTGGGTCATGACTGCTTCTTTTGTATCCCTTACAATTCATTGTTCATAATACTATTAGATACAGTATAATAATATAACCCACAAACACAGCAAACATATCTACTGCCTTGTTTTCATTGGTCGCTCTTTGTTTCTGTAAAGAATGACATAAGTGAAATTGTTCTTGTACTCCGTAAATGCAGATATAAGTGCTAACAGAGCTGTGTAGGTCTGAAACATATGTGTTCTTCAATGAAACAGGCAGCGTAACTGCACTACTGGGTGGCAGCGATGTCCTGGACCTGCCAACTACCGGTGCATCCCCAAGTGGCTCTTCTGTGATGGCAAGGATGACTGCCGTGATGGAAGTGACGAGCTGCCACAGAACTGTCCCAAGTGCCATGAAACTGGAGATTTCCGGTGCACGAACAATCGGTGCATTCCCAAGTAAGTGTCCCTGTCAGGGTTGTCTGGTGCAAATAGCCATTTGAAATATTTTTACTGGGTGGCGCAAGAAGACTGTTTTTTAAGAGATGCAAACATGGACAGCCCAAAGTATCTGAAAGAAATTCATATTATTTGTGTAGAATATACATAATAAAAATGATCTTTTCAGTTTATTATTATTTTTTTATTACACAGAAACACATTTTGAATTTTGAAAGTTAAAAATGGGCTTGGGTTTGAAGATCTCTCTCTTGTGACATATAATGCTGTTTATTTCACTGAAACTCAACAGAAATTTTGGAGGCAAATACTACCTGCTTCATGCTGGTTTCTTCTTGGCTTATTCTTTGGCTCATATTGATAAATTAAAAGTTTATTTATGTAATCAGAGAAAGAGGATTGAGAATGAGGATTCAAGTCACATTCAGAACTCTACCATAATGCTTGCATATCCTTAAATAGCCATGATTATCATAAACATTGGTAAATTTCAAAATATGAGTACCTTGAGTGTTTTCTATTATAGGATATAGAATTCATACAGTTTCAAATTCAGCATTGAAAATGATAATGAAGAAAACCGAAATTTCTGATGTAGTTCAGTTTTGCTGCTTCTGTTTTACTGTTCACATTCCTTATTTGTACATTTTGTTGTGCCTTTTGTTTATTTTTATGCCTGATTTGATGACACTGGGTATAATGGAACAGGTAATGTATCTGACCGTTATTCGTCACAAAAACCTCTTACTTCAGTAAACATTCAGGTTTAACTTAACCCATCCCATCTCATTTAAATTTAAAAACTTTGGTGTTCTACAGACGATGGCTGTGTGATTTTGAGAACGATTGCGGTGACAACAGTGATGAACAGGATGCCCTGTGTCACGGTTCTTATCGTGAATGCTCAGAATCAGAGTTCCGTTGTGCCAACAATAAATGCATTCCTAACCGGTGGCGCTGTGACCTTGATGATGACTGCGGTGACAACTCTGATGAAGTGAACTGCTCTGGCTTTCAGTGCAAGGTAAATTGGTGCTACTTAAGCAAAATGTGTACTGTCATGTGTATGAGTGTGATTGTAGACAGGACTGATGATTGGATCTATTGGACTCTTTGATACAGTGCATGGCTACATTTTACAGTTCACTGTTACAGTAGTGTCCACAGTCACATCTTCACTAGCTGTTGCTCAGTAGTGGCTTCCAATAGTGGATGTTCACCTTCCACTGTGTTCCTGTGCTATCCCTGGCCTCATCTACCACCTTCCTACAGTAACAGCTCACAGTGACTGAACCTCAGTGGTTCTTGGTTCTCTAACTCGCTGACTAACTCACTAACCAACTGTCCTACATATAACATCTCAGAATGGACCACACAGAAAACTCTGTACCATTATTGCTGTGCAGTTGTTGCCATGGAAACATGCTTGTTTGTGAAGCCATTACTTAACAGATGCTGTTTGTATAGCTCTGATTTTGTGGCCATTGCCTAGCAATGTGTCCACATGCTAAAATACTTTATGCGACATTATGCGCATTGGTTATATATTGACAAGTAATTAAGAATATGAAATTTTGTTCTCTATATGAAATTGTACATTGCAAGAAAATATGCTTAACACACACATGTTACTGATTTATCTGTTGCACAAAAAGTTACTGAATGATACCTATGTGTCTTGCAGTGTGGAGAAGGTTGAGAGACAGCAGCTTATTGAAAAGTTCCATCTTTTGAGATATATTGCCATGTAGCCAAGTGAAATTAAACCAGAGTTTTACAGGAACACATTGCCTCCATCTTCAGAGTTGAAGAGTAAGCCAAGGAAGAGACTTCGCAGAAATAGGCTTTGCTTACTGCCTGCTTCATGCTACTTTCTTGCTTGACATATTCTTGACTCTGAAATCCTGGAAATGGTGGCAGTGTGTTCCTCTGAAACATCAGTTGACTTTCGCTAGACAAAACCTTCACCACTCTGAGAACCTCATATCCAAATGGCTTATTGAACTATACACATGCTTACATCACATGAACATCCATATTGATGTTACATTCACTGACATTTCTTTCCAGAATGGGACATTCCAGTGTGCGAGTGGACACTGCATTGCCTCGTACTTCCGCTGTGATGGAGATAGAGACTGCAGAGACATGAGCGATGAGATGCACTGTCCTCCACGGTTTCCTGGTGGCCGGTATTGCCCCGACAGCAAATTTGAATGTGGCAATCATTTGTGCGTAAACCAGGGAGATCTCTGTGATGGGACGGATGACTGTGGTGACAATTCTGATGAGAGCCCCAGCCTGTGTAGTAAGTCTGTGTTTATATATATATTCTAGAGAATGGTCCATTAAGATCAATGTCAAGCTGAAAATATTAATACAGGAACCCTATTTGTTGTAGGCTGTCTCATTCCAGAGAAAGTAGTCCCTTATTAGAAGGAAGACATATTTACAATGTTCATGTCCTTTCCAGAACCTACTCTTTAATTTTGTTATGCTGAAATGGATATTGTCAGGACTTACAATTTTATTCTATAACCAAAAGACACCAACAGAAGTCCTACTTGAGAAGCTTATAGTTGTTCATCTAGTTGAGAAATGCCCAACATTGTGTGGAATCCAAAGGTTCTTTACTTTACACACCTCTGGTCCCTCTTTTGAGCCACATGAATCCAATCCATGCCCTCTCTAGTATCCTTCAATTTATGTCTTAAGTCTTCCGTGCAGTCTTCCTACCAAAACTTTATATTCATTTCTCTTCTTTCTCATATATATTATTATGTCATTCTCCTTGGTTTGCTCTTTCCAGTACTACTTCTCCAGCCCCTTATTTCTTTTTCTTCTTAGGTCCAGATATTCTCCTCAGTGCTCTGTTCTCAAATGCTTAGCAATTTGTGTTCTTCCATTAATATGAGATACCAAGTTTCACACTTGTATTTAACTGTGTGCACAAGTGTACCTGTACTCCAGTTTTGTTCTCTTTGTGAAAGATTTTGTCCTACATGTATCTTGGACAGTAATTTTACTGTCCTTCACATCCTGAGAGCTGATGTTGTCATTTATGTTTCACAAGCTGTTACATTGCTGTTTATTTCTTTCCCAGTGAACTTCAGTTGCGATGCACTCAAAAGATTCCAATGTGAAAACCATCGTTGTGTACCTCGCTACCAGCTGTGTGATGGAGTTGATAACTGCGGTGATGGTAGTGATGAAAACAACATGACTTTATGTGCTAGTCGTGTCAAACCATGCAATCTCTATGCCGAGTACCAGTGTGCAAACAAGAAGTGCATTGACCGTGGCCGAGTGTGTGATTTCGCCGATGACTGCGGAGATTCTTCTGATGAACTTGGTTGCCGTGAGTATCTGAACCTTTATCTGTGACTCAAACATAAAATTTTATAGTTTTTTCTTTTTGCCAGTGGGGTGGGACTAAGTCCCTTGTACTGCAGCCACTTCTGGCCTATTGTACCAGCCCCAGATAATAGGTGAGGGTGATTGTGGAGCAGTTGGTGGAATGAAGATTGGCAGGGGAAACCGAAGTCCTCGGAGGAAACTTGCCCTAGCGCCGCTTCATCCACCACAAATCCCACTTGACCAGACCCGGGATTGTACCTGGGCCGCTGAGGTGGGAAGCCAGCGACTAACCACTTGAGCTATGGCACGGCCAACTTTTATAGTTAATTGATTCAAATTTGATTAATATGGCAAGATATCTTGTGCAGTAACTCTGTCAGGAAATTGTAAATATACAGTTGTCTGTCCAAATTTGTATTACAGATCACACAAAAACATGCACAGAAGACAATAGGGGAGGCTGTGAGCACCACTGCACGAACCTTAGTGATGGAGGCTACATCTGTGCCTGCTACTCAGGTTTCATCATCTCTCCAGAAAATAGGAAGAAGTGCCTAGGTAAGGAATTGGGGCAAGTTGGTTCAAGATGTAATGCTTCTCACTTGTATTCAGGATGTGTCGAGTTTGAACCCAACCAGGGCTCTGACTGTCCTGGGAGTTTTCTTTTTTGCTCAGTCCCTCCAGGTAGATGTCAGGATAATATCTTTAATAGCCCATGACCACTTCCTTTCCAGTTCATTATCATGTCCAAAACATAGCCCATGACCACTTCCTTTCCAGTTCATTATCATGTCCAAAACATCTTCGAGGGTGCGTCATCATGGGTAAGTGATGTGGATTATAACATTATCATTAGTCACTAGATTACATTCTCAGCATGTGATGAGAACCAAAAGCACCGTACCGGAGATCTCCTCACTGAAAACAGGATTTTTCTTCGATAAGGCTGTGTAACCAAGATATGCTGTGCCCTTGAAGATGTTTCAGACAATGTATATTGTCTTCTTATTTGATGTTCCTTGTCTGAGTTACTGATAGCATCATTAAATAAACTACGAATAAATGAAGGAATAAATAAATAAAATATCTTGTGATTTGTAAGTGCAGTGTTGCATTCTGTTGTGTAATTTGACTCGTTAAACAAGTGCATGCACACAGTCAAATAACGTTCATTAACAGTTAAAATTAACAAATTCTTGTCTCGTTTTAAGCACAGCAATGCCATCTTCAGGCACAAAATATTCGGTTAGGTGTCTGATGATTGTGTGTAACAATATACATGACTTTTATTTTGGACGTCTTTCATTGTTTGGGTTTTTTCAGAAGACTGTGTTGTGAAGGCTGGATCAGTTTCCATCATGTGTAAGGGAGGAAATGTCCCTTCTCAGATGGACCCATTTGAAAGAACCACAGAGCCAATGCTAAAGACTAACTCTTTCTTATGGTCCCATCTGAGTAGGAACCTTTCCTCCTTTATACTTGTTGATGAAAACCTAACATTGTTTTTATTGTAACCAAGTAACTAAACAACTAATTTAATACCTAACACTATGGAACTGAGTCCTTCTTGAGAAGCCGTTAGTTGCTGCTCAAGAATTTCCCAACATATTATGGAACCTTGGTTCATTACCATGTTCACAAGAGTGTGCCATTGGTCTGTATTCTGAGCCAGATGAAGCCACTTCATACCCTCCACATCCTGTTCCCTAAGATCCATTTTAGTATTACCCTCCCACCTACATTTAAGTCTTCCTAGTAGTCTGTTTCCTTCTGAGTTTCCCACCAAAATTGTATATGTATTCCTTTTCTTCTCCGTGCATGATCTCATTGAACGTTACTGTTGCAGATTACCATGTGTATTATATTGGTGGTAGAGATTTTAATTTTATATTTGAATATCAGCAGTGTGATTCTTGTAGTTAGTAATTCATGTGCTTTTTTTCTTGCAGATGTTGATGAATGTGCGACTGGGGTTCACAGGTGCTCACAACTGTGTACGAACTTGAATTCAACATATGAATGCTCATGTCGCAAAGGGTTCACTCTCTCTGATGGAATGAGTGGTGTATGTAAGGCAGACAACCCTGAAGTAATGCTTCTCTTTGCTAATGGCCCGGAGATTCGTTCATACAACTTGCTGGAACGCCGCCAGTTGGATGTGATACAAGACGAGAAGAGAATAGAGGCCATTGATTATGATCCGAACACAGAAATTATCTTCTGGGCAGACTCTTACGAAAAAACCATCAAGCGTTCCTACATGGTCAATGCTCAGAAAGGAGATGTGAAAGTCGGCTTTGCACAAGATCTTAATATGAAAGGTGTGCACATAACTTCCAGTGACTCGTATCTTTTCCTTTTTCAAACTTAATGAGTGATACAAGCCCATTCTGACATTTAGTAGCAATAAATCTGATTTAGTCATCTACTTCAGGGTCTTCCCATGTCTCTGCATCCTTTTGGATTATGTAGGTATGCTAATTTTGGTAGTCTGTTATATTGTATCCCATGTACAGCCATTAAATTTAATTTATTTCCTCTACCGTATCCTTACTGGAGCCAAGAAAACTGCAGTCGGTATAGTGACTGACTGACTGTGGGCTGGATGACTGAGGGATCGGAGTTTGAGTGCCAGTGGGTCAAGAATTTTCTGTTCTTCACATTGTCCTCACCATCTTTTGGGTCCACCCAACCCCTTATCCAGTGGATACCGGGGGCTCTATTCCTGGGGTAAAACGGCCAGGGCTTGATACTGACCACTCACCTCCAACTAGTGCTGAGGTCAAGATAATGTGGATTTATACATTCACCCCCATCCATGCATATGGTGTAGTGCTTAATTAGTTAAGCACAGTGACAACTTTACCTGTTTTTTTTTACCTTTACCATATCCTTACTATATGTCTGAAAGAGTTCCAAAACTTATGAATATTTTAGGCCTATGGCTAAAATCTTCGTACCATTTACAGGAAATAACTACACTATAGTAGTAATAGTAGCAGAATCTTTTTGTTGAAAGTTGTTGTCTTGTGGGTTGTGCTATTTCATGGTCTGTTCAATCATTCTTTGACCTGAAGATGGAGGCAGTACCTGTCTGCCAGACTATATGACGTCACATCCCAGGAGACGGTTTTCAAATTCACAGAAATAAGAACATCAAATCTTACAATATTTTTTTTTTTGTACAGGTAACTCAAAACCTACCAGCCTGGCTGTGGACTGGGTAGCAAATAACCTATATTGGACAGAGACTGATCGCTCTGGTTCGAAGCCACGTGGACGTGTTATGGTTGCTAAAACCGATGGTCGATACCGGCGTGCAGTCATCAATACGGGCCTGGAATCACCTACATCTGTGGTTGTGGATCCACAGTTAGGCCGTATGTACTGGACTGATGCAGGGGCTGCTCCAAAGATTGAATCGTCATGGATGGATGGCAGTAAACGACGACCCTTGGTCACTACTGGCATTCGACATCCAACAGGCCTGGCTGTTGATTATGCTATGGATCATGTGTTATACTGGGTTGATTCGAAGCTGAACACCATTGAAATGGTGAAGCATGATGGCAGCAACAGGATTCTTGTGCTCCACGGAGGTTTGTAAAAGTAGCAACTTTCAAAGCAAGTTTTTCACATGTATAATAGAGTCTACATTCAGAGGGCCTGACACGTTTCACCCAGTGAAACAATCTGGATTCAGATGATATGTCATTACAGGGGACAGGAACTAAATTATTGTGTTTCATGTTTTCACTTCTTGGTTAAATTTAGTTACAGATATCATCCATCTCTTTCTTACTTTCCCATCAGAAGGGAAGTAAAGTTGGAGGTCCCTTGCTGTATACACGTTTATTGCATGTAGGAGTATCTTCCAGTTATGGTAAAAGATGAGTGAAGGCAAAATTGGGTTCCATTTTTGGTCACCCAGTACCCTTCATATTCTGCTCTTAGATGTCACTGCAGGTGCATGTCTACAGAGACCTCTGGTTGACAGGAGTTGGAACAGCTTGAAAGCACCCAACCCAACTGAACTACGCTGGACAACTGGATAACATAACTCACCCAAGATGTGCCACTCTATTGAGGTTAAGAGCACAAATGACATAATTGTCAAAGTGCGATAATAAAAATCAACCAATTTTACTTAACCATGCTTTGTCATCTTCACTGATTTTATAATGCAAGATAGAAGAATGATTGTAAATCACAAAAAGGGGAGGATGTGAATGAGAGCAGTTTTGTCTACTTTCCATTAATGGCTAAATATTTGCCTGTCAAAACAGTGAAACCATGAAATAAATCACTCAGGATACCAGGCCTCAGTGTTGGGAGTTAAAGTTATTATCTCCCATATACAGATTAAGAATGCTGATTGTTCATTATTCTGTTCGTTAATACAGGTAAGTAACATTTTTGTGGGAAAACTTCTAGGAAAGGTTCCTCTTGAAAAAAAAAATGAAATGGATAATTTTGATGTTTGAAGATGGATGAATCTTCCTCAGAATCATGCCCAGAGATGAGTATTGTTATTAACAGTGTTGAATTGTTGGTTCTGCTACAAGAGAATTATATTAGTTTGAAAATATCAGGTCTGTGGTGTAGTTTAGTGTTCACACTAAGCAGTGGGCCATCACTCTTGCAGTCATTCACATGGGGTGGGAGAGTGGTAGCAACTGTTCTTTTGGTGCTCCTGCTTTGTTGGAAGAGGACAGGACGGCCGTTAGGACCACACCAAGAGACGTTCCCTAGTAACAACAGTAATTTAGATTTGGGATTTATACTTCTGTCGTAAATCAAATCATGAATAGTTTCTAGCCATGCAAGAATACAAATTTATAAGATGTCTGCTAGACAAATGTTGTCTTATGGTAGTGAACCATGGACAATAAGAATTGATAAGATTGATATCAGGAGAAATGGGTTTCATTGAGAAGGCTGTGGAATACAGCATTCAGACTTTAAAAGAGGAGAAGAAATTATAAGGTAACTACAAATTCCACAGATAACAGAATTTATAGAACAATATGGAGGAAGAATAATACTGTATTTATGTATGTGACGCCATGAAGTCTGGTAGAAGTCTACCTGAGGTCTGAAGGAACATGATGCCTCCATCCTCGGGGTAGAAGAGCAAATTTACTGCCTCCATCTTCAGGGTGGAAGAGTGAATTTGCTGCATATATCTTCAGGGTAGAGTAGTGAATGTGCAGCTTATATCTTCAGGGTAGAAAAGTGAACTTACTGCTTACATCTTCAGGGTAGAAGAGATGCAGAAGAAACATGATACAGCATGTTGACAAGATTCCAAAAAGAAACCTTAAAATTTCAGCAAAAAAGAAAAATTAGTTAATGAAGATTTCTGAAATGGTGGAAGGATTCTCTTTGTAATATCCATAGGAGGCCTCAGTAAGCTAATACTATGCAGGATGCTGTTGACTATGATGATGATAATATGCATCTCGGTTACAGAGTTCGTATGTATCCGTACAGGACATTATTTGACAATGTGAGGTGGACCAGCTTCTAATGAAAGCAGTCTCTGTGCATTTATAACCAAAGAAAAGATTTCCCCCCTTCAAGGTAGAGGAAACCTAATTACCATGCAGGGATTCCAGTGTACATCCCAAGGAGTAGCAACCTTGTGAACAGTGCATTTTATAATTTCTGTTTTGTTGGCAGAGGCACTTCATCATCCAATCTCACTGGATGTGTTTGAGAGCACCATGTTCTGGATAACACGGGATGCTGGCGAATTGATGAAGCAGGATAAGTTTGGTCGTGGAGTGCCTGTTGTCATCACAAAGGACTTGGTGAACCCCTCAGGAGTGAAGGGTAAGAAGTCACTATTATGAGACCTGTGCTGTGTGTCTGTATTATGTTTAATTGTGTTCAGTGCCAGACTGCTGATGTAATGAAAACCTTGAACCTGGCACTAGATCCTGTGTGACTAGTTGGTTGTCTGTCCCAGTGATTCAGTCACTGAATGAGTGAGTGGCTGCCTGAATAACTTGAATGACTTACTGATTGACTGGCTGTATGACAGACTGGATGACTCATTTTACTGAGTAAATCACTAAATTAGTGATTGTAAGATTCACCCACTGGCTACTGATTCACCGAATGGCTGACAGTGACTCATTGACTAAATAATTAACCCATTAATTTTGACTTGTTGACTCAATGGCTGAATGACCATGACAGACTGATCCACTCTCGGCTGATTGATTGTCTGTTGACTGAGTAAATGATTGATTAAATTATGGTTTCATGACTGACCCACTGAATAACTGACTCAATGAATCACTCACTTATTGACTGATTAACTGATTTATTGTACTACTGACTGAATAACTCACCTATTGGCTGCCAAACTGATAGACTAATTCATAAATGAGAGTGCAGTTGAATCACTTACTCACTGATTGGTTTATTCACTGATCAGTTTATTGGTTGACTAAGTGGCTGCCTTGCTCGCTGGCTTGCTGATTGTCTACTTGTATTACTGACTAGTGGACACCCCACTAGTGATAAAAAAAATTAGCTCCATGGAGATGAGCCTTTCTTGAGAAGCTGCCAGTTGTGCAGGTACCCAAGAATTTCCCAACATCTTATGGAACCCGAAGGTTCACTACAGTGATCACAAGAGCTGTCCACAGGTTCCTGTCCTGAGCCAGGTCAGTCCAGTTCACACCACCCCATTCTGTCTCTCCAAGATCCATTTAAAATTATTCTCCCACCTATGTCTAGGTCTTCCAAGTGGTCTCTTTCCTTCCAGCCTTCCAACAAAAACCCTATAAGCATTTTTCTCCTCCCCATGCATACTACATGGCCTGCCCATCTCATCCCCCTCGACTTGATTATTCTAATTGCACTTGGTGAACAATACAAGTCATGAAACTACTCATTATGCAGCTTGCATTGGGCTACACTTATATATTAAATCATGATTCCAGTGAATATGCATGCTATCAGAAACTGGAATTTGTTTTTGGCAAAAATTGAGGCTGGAATGCAAGCTGAAGCACTGCTGCCTGGTTATCTTAACAACAATGACCTGTACATAATCAGGTTAGAATAATGACAGAATTGAAGCCTTAGGCTTAGGATAGTGCTAAATACACATAGAACGTGCAAACTACATACTTGTAGATCATTGGCCTAGGGTGACTTACCTGTGTCTAAATTGAAATATGTTTTGTGTTCTCAGTGTATCACGTGCAGCGTTACAACACAACGATCAGTAACCCGTGTTATAGCACTCCATGCACCCACTTGTGTCTCATTGTGCCGGGTGGACATCGATGTGCATGTCCAGACAACTCAAACTTGCGCGACAATGGCAACGAAGTCACGTGTGATGCTGCATCTGAACGTCCTCGTCCGTCTCCACGAGTCTGCAAGTGCCAAAATGGCGGCGTCTGTCAAGAGGATGATTCAGGTGGCCTAACTTGCCAGTGTCCCATGGACTTCCATGGTGAATTCTGTGATGATTATGTGAGGAAAGCACCTGTCCCAGGCACCGGTTCCAACACGGCCGCTATTGTTATTCCGATTGTCGTCATCCTCTTGATTCTTCTTGCATCGGGAGCAGTATACTTCGTTCTTCGCAAGAGGCCGTTGTAAGTTTGAAATATTTTTTGTAAATATAGTATTTTTATAGTTCTTTGCCCATATTGCCATCTTGCAAATTGCTGCACTTGTGCAAATGTAGATAACAGGAGGATTGTAATTAAGATCTGAATGTTTGTGACAGTGGTACGTTAATACAAATATTATGTTTCTGGACATTATCCATTATGCTGTGCTTATCGTAAACACCATCCTGCTTTTTTATTTAAACACAGGATGATAGTTAACATTCAGAAACATTATAGTTGTAGGAGGATTGTATCTGAGAGTATGGCTTCACACTTCTCCCGCACACAATAGAACCCTGGTATAAGTTCCAGATTTTCATGGCATTCAGTGTTCAAATTGTGGTCTTATGACTTGTGATACTATTGAGTATCATAAGTAGATGCCAGTGTATGGGAGCAACATATTGGCTCTCTCTCCATGTTGATGTGAATATGGTGAGCGTGATATTAAGTTGTATGGGCAGGTTCCAAAGAAGATCCATGGGATGGTGAAAATGGGATGAAGCCCACTCAGGGCCAGTAGGAATGATGAACAGGAAATGCAGGAAAGAGAAAATCCTGTTATTTTTCTTGACATATTTAATTATTCTGTATCAAGTTCAGCACTGTCAGATTGCTGTTAAGAAATTCAAATTAAACTTGATTTTAATGTTATTTTTCTTGACATATTTAATTATTCTGTATCAAGTTCAGCACTGTCAGATTGCTGTTAAGAAATTCAAATTAAACTTGATTTTAATGAGCTGATGATGTCCAAAAGTTGTCCTTTACTAAAAGTCTTGAAAACTATAGTTTCATTATATTGTGACATGATAGCTGAAAGCCAGAACAGTGGAACAAGAAGAGGCTGATATTATTAAGTAATTGCATGGTAAACACATATCCACAGCAATGAATCAGCATGCAATGACAGAGGAACTGTTGGAAATGGTGTTTTCTGTGTGGTCTGTGCCAAGGCTGTATAGCAAGAGACTAACAGTAAATTAGTCAGAGGTTGGAGTCAGTGGTTAGTGAGCTGCATGTGAATAGTGCCAGTTCCTGGTTGGCCATGAGGAATCTCCACTGTTAGCAGCTGCTACCTGGCAGTGACTAGTGATGGCAGAATAACAGATAGAAGACTGTGTGTACTGTAGCTGTAGTGATTTATAGTGTGTAGATTAGCAATAATGTTATAAACACTTGTAGTCACAACTTATAAGCATTCAGTAATCTAATTATCAATCCAAACCTTGTGTCTTAGTCACTAACATATGACAATATTGTTGACTAATGTTTGCCAGACTGAAGTTAATTTTAATGGCTATGAAGTCATTTCAACTGCATTCATAACAGTAAAGCAGATTAAACCAAAACTGAAAAATTAAACTAGAGACTTTAATGTGTTAACTGGCTTCTCGTACGCTCATTCCATGCAACAGAACCCTCCCTGAGAAGCGGATATTTGCTGAGATAATCAAATTCTGCACCTTTTATGGAACCTGAAGGTATATTACCATGTTCACAAAAACCTGTGACTGATTATGTCTTTATTGCTTGCAGTGGAAAGGGCACTGGTTTGGGTGGACTCTCAAATTCACAGAGTGTTTCCTTCCGTCAAGGCACCAATGTTGAGTTTGGAACCCCAACTTTTGCCACCAATGGCCCACAGGGTAGAATGGTAAGTATTATTCTATTCCATCCTGTAATTACAATTGACAAGGAACATGTACATTCTAAACAGAAATTTGGAACGTTGGTGCAACTGCAACCTGGTCAATAACTGGGAATAATTGCTGATAATGACATTTGCTTCCGATAAGTGTGACAGGTACAACCAGATACTGAATTTATTTGTTTTGTATTCAGGAGCCCATGGATGTGGAGTATAACATGGGAGATATAGGTGCTAAGAACAGAGACTTCAGTAATCCCATGTATGACGCATTGGACGGAAGTGGTCCGACAGGTAATGGGGGCAGTGGTGGAGGTATCTACGAGGTGCCTTCTGATGTAACCAAGTCAAAAGTTACGGCTGGTAACGGGGAAGTAGAAGTGTTGCCACATCCTGAACCAGCATCTGCTGTCCTTGCACCATCAAGTGTCATACAGCGGTCATCCCCCCAGATCCATATCCGACATAGAGAATTGGATCCAAGCTCAACTGATACAGGCAAAGACACACAGAAACTGGTTGAGGAGGACAAGTCTGAGTGCTAATTGTTGTTTAGGAGTAAACCTTCAAAATGTGGCTTAGAGCACGGGTGCTGGACTGACAGCTGGAGAGAGTTCAGTGGAACTGCATGAGGACGTAATAGACAGAATGAATGTGTATGAAGATTTTGATCCAGTGATCCATCTGTTAGAGTTAAATGTTGACATCCTGTCTTATGGTCCCTCCTAAAATAGCACACCATCACATGACTACAGTGTACAATTCCTAGTTTCTCCTTAATGTAAAGTTGGATGATTTCAATACCTGTTTATATGCAGATTACAGAAATGTTCTAACAACCACCATTTTTTCTTTAGAAAACTGGATCTATTATTTGTTTCAAAAATATAAAAAGTTATAGCATCTTGCAAAGATTTGACCTGGAGAGTGGCACATTAACAGCTGCTGGTTAATCTAACTCCAGACATCACTCACATGTTGATCACATGATCATCATGTTGCATACTGATTACTTTAAAAATTGCCTCAGTAAATCTGGCTACCTTATGAGTTGTTATATATTAAGTTTTAATCCTTTCCTTGAAGAATGGTGCGTGATGTGAAATGGTGGAGCTCAGATTGCATTAATCAAATGCACATTGACTGAAGTCGCCTATTTTTCATTAAAGGAGAAAACAAGTTGCTTGTTTTGTTGTACATTGCTATTAGTTGCTGTGAGCACTTGAGTTACCCTTTAGGTATGCACTCAAAATGCAGTGAGAGGAGAATTAGCTAAGGGTTTGGCAATTTTTTTTTTTTTCATATTTATTAGCGCAAAAAATGTCAGGTCTCACGTTGGAAAAGTCTGATTAAAGAAAAAAAACACAAAAAGGGATTGATCTAGAAACATTCCATATTTTACATTGTACCTACATGAAACTGTAATATTTTTAATATTAAAATTGCACTATGATCATATATGTTAAGGACAATTTGTAAAGCAAAGAAAAGTTCCTTAACGTATTTTAAGAAGAGGACCAGGACTCATGTGTTAACTCTATATTTTGAAGAACTTGTGTTGTGTAATGCTGTTTGAGGTGTGGAGTGGAATGGATGATTTTTGAGCTGTGACACGGAGGCGAGGATTTTACCTGCCAGCTCCAAGTTTGCCCAATAATGACACAGCATTATGGCTTACAGCTATGTGCATCTTGACTACATTCATTACAGAAAAGTAAAAGTTAAAAAAAGAAATTTTTTTTTTTTACAAATTTCATGACTGATGAATAAATAAGAGATATTGAAAATATTTTTATATTGGTCGAGGTAAATGTTTACATGCCTAGAGGAGCTGAGAGGGTGTTACAATCTTGCAATCTTGCAATGTTGTGTTGTGTATATATATATTTGAAACATATGTAAATTTAATTTAGAAAGAGACTCATCATAGTCCTGGAAAATATTTCTTCTTTCCAAGGTCTGTTGCATATTTGTCAAAAAACTAAAAGGATTATTACCAGTCTGCAGGTCGGATCTTCATTCCTGCTGTCTCTGACATTGGTTCGCTTTTATAGCCAGTCTGTGAGATGTCACGCATTATGTAACATTCCAGAATCACATGTAATTTATTTAATTGCAGTACTGACACATTTCTATGCTTTATCGTGCACTGCAGGATAAACAGTTTATACAGAGGGTTTATAAATTAGCTTGAACTTCTGAACAGTCATATGCAGCAATAAATACATAATAAAATTGACTGTGGTAGGCATTTTTTTCCCCATTGAATTTTGTAGTGTCACAAATGTTCTATGTGGTGGCCTTATGTAATGCAGGCAATGCTCCGTTTTACTGATACTTACCATGACAACAGTTGCAAGAATCTATACTCCATAATTCATCAAGTGTTTGTGGAAGGTGGGACCAATTTGATCCTCGATCCAGCCCCCCCAGAGGAATCTGTAGTGGCAAAATCAGGTGACTGATTGGGCTAAGCAGTGTGCCCTGCTTGACCAATCAGTGTGGCAGGGAACATGTATTCCACAGGTTTTCCGTTGACCGTATCCCTGCCATTGATGTGGAATGTGGCCTCATCACAGGCTTATAGGTCATAGCTCATCTCTAGCTCATCACAAACTGACTGTTCAGAAGTGTGACCTAATTTAGAAAGACTTAGTATAACACTGTGCATATATCAAAATGAGACCGTCCATCACGTGTTGATACATTCCTTTCTTATCATTCCAGCATGGTATGTTCTTAAATATAAGGACTTGAGATGAAGTGGAAATGTTTAATATAATAATTATTTTAAAATATTGTACAGAACTGTTTTGTGTGTTTGTGTGTGGGGGGGCTGGGATGGGAGGGGGGGATGGTCCTTGAACTGTGGAGTATCTTCAGGGAGTTAGTTAGATACTTCATCTATTTTATTTCCATTATCTGTGAGAAATTATTTTGTGGATTTTATACAGTTACATTTAACAGATGACATATACACCATACATTGCATTGTTAAGTTTGTCTGCATTATGTACTTATGATAATCTAACTAAAACCCTGCGGGTAAGACCACGCTAAATTTTTGTACAGATTATATAATCTACTTGTACTGAGAGCGAAATAAGTTTTACAGTAAAGATAACCCATTGGGTTGTGTTTTTCATCTACATGTAATAGAAATGAGACCATCTTCAGATTATTACTGATATTCCATAATTTAAATTATGTGCACTGACTGTTCTTACTATCAGCTTTGTTGCAGAATTATAGGTTTTTACAGTAGTCTATACATACTGTAGACTCTTTAAGGGTTATAAGTACAGCATCACAACTGGAAAAATTGTGGATGTTTCAGAGGAAATTCTTGCCATCTCCTCAAGGGTTGATCCTGAAGAATGTTGTGGCTAATTCCTCTGAAATATCAATAATTTTTACTGTTTTGGCATGGATAATTCAGCAGTGATACTTTTAGGATGTGATGCTATGTAATTTGGTAGATAGGTACCAGTGTTTTTGAGAAACCTGTTGCCTTCTAAACTACAAGGTTTTACGTTCTTGAAGATTGTAATTTTAATATCCTTATCTCTCAAAGACTTGTGTTTGGATCTTCATAGCGTGACTGAAGAATACTGTCTTCTGGAATGTGACATCATGTAGTCTGGTAGAAATTTACTTCACATTTCAGAGGAATGTAATGCACCTCTTCTTGCTTGGTTTATTCTTTGACCCAGAAGATGGAGGGAGGAAATACATTCCTCTAAAATGTCAGTGAATTTCTACCTAACTAGATGGTATCACACTATAGAAGATGATAATGTTCAGGTGTACTAATTATTTTGTCATCTCCACTCAGTGTTTTGAACTTCTGAGTAAATGTTCTTTTTATGTAGAGGTCCCTCATATAGATAACTACAGAATTTTTGTTCGAGCATCCTTCCCTTAGCTAGGCTGTGTTCACTGTGATTCAGTCTTGATGTCTGATGACTTACTGGTAAACAGGGACAGCAGATACCTCTTGTAGGTGACTTTAGATGTCCATTCTAGGATTCATGTGGTTTCTAAATAGCATAAGTGCACATTAGTGACACATCAACTTTTTCATTGGATTAGCTCCTCACCAAACATTACACTTGAGTGCTTACCATGCTTGCTATATATTCAGGAAAAACTCTAAGAATTAAATCTCAGCCACACACTGGTCATTTGGACTCTACTGATGTTCTACTGAATCTTTTTAGTCTTGTTCAGACAGTATTTTAAAACAGGCTGTGACCACTTCTTTCCATATCTTTCCATTCTTACCATTCAACACTACATAACCTGTGCAGCTGCAAAATTATAATTAAGTAAGGCAAGTATAAATCAACTGCAACCACTTCTTATTAAATTGATCTTTTTCACCATTATTTGTTCTCATCTTTTGTATTTCTTTCTTTTTTGGTGGACCTCTGTAAATTCAGACAGAAGGTAAAACGATGTCACAATCAATATGCAGAAAATTTTCTTTTTTGCTACAAGATACAAAATTTCTGATAAAGCTCATTGCGTGGAAAATAAAGTTCTGGTATATCTTCTGATGGAGACAGATATGTGTACACACTAATATGTGGTTATGTCAAAGTCAGCAGATTCCATTGTGGACAGGCAATTTAAAAAATGTCTACACAGTAGCCAAATTTTTAGGTCCCAAGTTGGATCTTAGTTGCAACTGGGTAGTGCCCTATTTTAATGAAGTATGTTTGTTTGAACGGACAGAGGAAAACCATTAAAAATGAGAATTTCTGATCTCAAAAAATGCTATTATGACCTGGGACTTCACGAATATTTTTGAGTTGGAGTGTAAATAATTTGGCTGTTGATTCAGTTGTAATTAATTTTGATATATGCTTTCTTCCTCTGTCTTTTATTACCCTGCAGAGACACTTAAGGGGGATTAAAAGAAGACTGTATTTCTTTTGTTAATGTATATTGAATGTCTTGCACAAAGACTGGATTCCCATTAAAATTTATTCATGATGTCAAAATATTGCCTGAAATAAGGTATATTGATTAAACATGAAATTTTAAAGCCAGGAAACAAGTTTATTTGTAATAATCTGAATATGGTTACTTAGATATGTAGAAATATTTCCCTTCCTCTGCTAGAGTGAAACTACCCCGATTGCCTCCAAATGCATGCAACCAGTTTACTTGAATCATACCCATATCCATGTTGAAGACATGCATGGAGTGTGTGCTGAAGGAAGAACTGAAGAGACGTAAAGACGTCACATACATGTGGTAAGGGGAAGTATGCAAGTTATTAATTTACAATCATAAAGCTATTTGAAATTTCAAAAGACAGTTGTTGTGGTTATCAGTATTGTTGGAGGAGTCATGATAGCACAGTTGGTAAAGCAACTGGCCAGGGGTTGGAGTCTGGACTGCAAAAGGGTTAAAAATTTTCTCATAACCACATTGTCCAGGCCATCTCTAGGGCCCACTCAGCCAGCTATCTGATGGAGCTGACAGTTCACCTCCAACCAGTGCCAAGGTAAGGAATATGTGGAGCTATACATCCACTTCACCATACATTTCAGTGGCGTAGTGCTTTATTAGTTATGCACAGGGACAAGTTTGCCTTTACCTTTTATCAATATTATTGTTGAATTTGGAGTCTGAAATATACTGAGGAAGTATTTCTGTGCATGTGCAATATTTTTTTTTCCCATAGGAACAAACTTTTTCAGTAATATTTGGCCTTAATAGCTTAAAAATTCTGGAAAGACAGCCATGTTTATGTTATGAATTGAACTTTGAAGAATGATAATATTCATTAAGTGCTGCAGTTGACATTGGTGGATGTTGCGGTACCAATGAATATGGATATGAGCAAGTGATACTGGTAATACCAGTTCATATGCAATCATTTAAAAGAAAACTGGTTATGTTCCCCTGCAGCACAGGGTTCCAGGTTTGCAAAATTATGCATTTCTGTGTTGTGCTGGAAGATTTTTTTTTGGGGGTGGGGGTGGGGAAAGGCAATTAGTTGGCTTGTAGTTAATGTTCTTACTGGTTCAGCTGTTGGCAGTGCTGCAACTGATGGTAGTCCTAATCGTTGGAAGTAAAATAACAGCATCATACAGGGAGGATTTGTACTTTGTTGACTGGTTCCATGGTGGCCGGTGCACTGCTTGCTGCAAGATGCATACAAAATTTGCTGATGAATCAGCATGTCTGATGACTGATAATGTTTGGAATGAAGGGAAGTTCCTACCTTTGTTCACAGATCAAAGGAGGTGTTGAAAATGTTGTACCTCTATATGTAGACATTCCTTGCACCAGAAGGGGAGGTTCTGATTTGAACTTTGAAGCTGTTCTGCAGGAATATTTGCAATTTCCCCACAGGCATTTTCTTTTAGTTCTTCTGTTTGAGGGTTACTGTTGTAAACTTTGTCCTTCAGATAGTTCCAGAATAGAAAATCACAAGGATTAAGATCAGGTGAACATGATGGCCAAATACCACTCCTGATAATTCTGTCCCCGAAGTCATCGGACAAAGCCTGCATAGACATACATGCAGTGTGAGCAGTAGCTGAGTCTTACTGAAACAAGCCATAGAGTCTTTCCTCTTCTGTTAACTTAGGAAAGAATTGCTCAAGAATGACCTATACATATCTTTCGCAATTAATTGCTTAGTTAAAAAAGACAGGTACAACAATCCTTCCACTTACTTTCACTGGATGGAGCAGGTCTTCATGGGTTAGATGTGGATTCTGTGAACTACAGTCATGATTATTTTGTGTATTTATGTATCCCTGCAATTGAAACCGTGCCTCATAAGAAAAGAATGTTAATTGCGGATCGATCTCTCCTTTGATGACAGACTGTAGAAACAAACTGCAAAAAATGAACCCAGCTAGCTGATCACGTGGCCGCAAGGCGTGGATTACTTTCTTTTATAGGACCTAAGCTTCAGAAATTTTGTTGCCGTTTATACACGAGAATTTGGCACTCCAGTCTCTTGAGCTAGACCTTTCAGTGATTTTCTAGCTGTACAAGTCTGCCGTCTATGTCATGTAAATTCTCCTGAGTAGGCACCCGGCTCTTATGCTTTTGATTCTAGTTTACTAACAGTCTCGTTGTTCAGCGTTTATTCAACAAATTGTGAATTTTTTGACTGCTGGGAATTCTTTTATCACGAAATTTTCGCCGAAACTTACCGGCGTCCGTATTTCACACTTCGTATGCGCCGCGCAGGAAGCGGAAGTGCGCAACGTTTTGGTGGCTGGTTTTAACGCGGGCTAAGTTTATATGCGTATGTAATGGAAGAATGAATAAGGGAAGGAGGTTTCTCGTACGTTTTGAAACTAGAAATTAGAACTGGGTATTCAGATTTTGCAGGTAAGGGAGAATTAACGTTTGTGTATATTTTTCTGGCGCATACAGATGCAATAAATGCAAATTTCCTGTTTCAGATGCTCTGCTGTAGTACCATCAAGTGTTAACGCACAGAATGAATTCAAGGTGTCTGCATGCATATGCTCAGCGAAATTCAGCTTTCTTGGCACTACACATTTGAGCGAAGTAAAAGGAGACCGGAAAAAATTACAAAACTTGGGCTTTATAATTCGTAATCACCCAGTAGTATTGGTGCAATAAAATCATGTCACATTTGGTTGGGTTAGGTTAGAGTAGATTCTGTTAGGTTAAGTATAATTACTTTAGGTTAGGCAAGGTGAAACTTTACTTTTATACAAACAAAACTGGGAAAATACACATCCATATTCATGTGCATTTGCTTTAGTTAAAGGAAGAGAGAACTTTGTAAGGTAAAAGTAAAGTTGACCTCGTGCTTAATTAAATAAGTACCAGATTATGAGGGCATACATGGGAGTGGATGTATAGTTCCACCATTCTTGATCTCTGCACTAGTTGGAGCTGAGTGGTCGGCTTCACTCCCTGGCTGCTTTACCCATGGGAAAAGAGCCCCTGGTACCCATTAGGCAGGAGGTTGGGTGGACCCCAGAACCGGTCTGGACGACATGGAGAAGAGAAAATTCTTGACGCTACCAGGACTCGAACCCATCTTTCATCCAGCCCATAGCCAGTTGGTATACCGACTACACTGGCTTTCCTCATAAACCTTGAGAGGAAAATGTGACCAAACACTGATGTCCTAAG